GGGGGGGGGTTGACAAGCTTAGCTTGCATTCTGGACACATACATCAAGGAGGTACTGCTCGGTGTTGCCGTCCTCATCCTGCTCCTCGAGGTAGACATCGCCGATTGAATCAACCACAAGGATCTTGCCATTCTCGGCGACGACGCGCTTCTTCGAGCCGGTGGGACCGGTCTGGCCGGTCTGCGCAGCCGTCTCCCGGGGGGTGGCGCTGCCGCTGCCGCTGGTGCTGCGGGCGGCGGGAGCCGGCTTGCGGGATCGACCTCCGCGCTCTTTGGCGGCCTCTCTGCGAGCCATCTGTTCCTGCATACGTCTCTCCTTGCGGTTTCTAGGCAGCTGGGGGCCCTCCTCATCATCGGCGGCAGGTGAGGCAGGAGCAGGGGCGGGGGAGTCGTCGATGCCAGGGATGTTCAGGTTGTCTCCCCACGCGGCATTGCGCGCGAATTTGATGTAGCGTTCGACAAAATCCTTCTGACGCTTCCAGGACATGAATAGAGCGATGTAGTGGAAGGCACCTCCAGCAACAAGGAAGACACCAAAGAGCACAGTGCCCAGGCCGGGGCGGTACCGGTTGTAATAATAATTGGTGCCCTTCCAGGCCGGGAAGCCATTTTTCAGGAAGTGGTCGTAGCGGTCGCGATCGGGGCCGCTGATGATGTTGCGTACGAGGCCGAGGCGGGCCTGACGGTCCGAAGCAATCTTGACAGCGGCCTTAATCTCCTTCTGAGTGGGAGGCTTGGACACATTGACGCCGGGGGCCTTCTTCTCCTTCTTCTTAGCCTTGGTGCGCTCGGCGATGAGCTGTTGGCGGACTTTATCAGGGTGGAGAGTGCGAGAGATCTTGCGGTAGGCCTTGGTGATCTCGTCGATGGAAGCACTATTCTTGACGCCAAGGAGGTCGTAGAAGGTCTGTTCGGGGTTGGCTTCATGAGCCTTGATCTCGTCGCGAATACGGAAAATCTCGCGATCTTTTGTTTTCCATGTTAGCACACGTTCGTTTTGCGACGGAAACAACACAGGTTGGCGGTGCCCTTACCCTCCTTGCTCCAAGCCGCAGCTAGGGGCGACACGACCAGAAGGCCAATGGACAGGATGTTGCTGAACTTCATGTTGTCGTTGCCGTGTCCAGGCGAATCCTAATGGAATGAGAAGGCGGCGCGCAATGGCCGAAAGTTTAGGGAATGTCGGGTCCGAGAAATCGCAGCTGAGGATGCCAGGTGTTGTTAGCTTGAGCTTTACTCAACGTGGGGAACAGGTGGTATGGAGCTGCCAGCGAAGCAACAACAACCACGTACTTCGTTTCTCTTTTCCCAAGGGTCCTCCTAGATCGTCGTCTCCAGTTGACAGTATCCCGTCCGATAGGTCTCTGCAGAAGAGAAGGGAAAATTTCTCCCACAGAATTGCGATTGGGAAATGTGGTCTCTGGGAGAGAGATTCAGGATGAGGTGGAATTTCCCGTGGACAAGGGATCTTTTTTTTTTTTCGCCTCTGCTCTGGCCGAGGGTGGGAAGCAGCAGCAAAGCAAAGACAGTAGGGTCGCAGGCGTCAGGGGATCCCGCCCTCCTGCTGCATCTGCAAAGAGGGCCTGACTGAAAAGAGAAGGTTCCGACCGCTGCGGGCAGGGATCATTGCGGCGTCCGAATCGCACCAATCCCCCTTGGGACTAGACTGATCCAGATCTAGCTCCCTTAATTGTGTGGGTTTGATGTCTTATGTAAGGCGTATGCTGAGGTAAGCTTTCCGTGGTGGTTTCTTGGATTGATTTGGTTTGATCGCCTCGGTCCTCACATCACGATGGCTAACCCAGGTGAGGCTCTGTGAGGTTGGCCAAGTCACCCAACAGACTGCCAGTGGGACATTGTCGATGGTCTCAGTGGAAATTTTGGAACGGCTTCTGAGTAACCGGACTGGTTCGAGGTCAGCAAACAAACGATGAGACCGAGAGAGCACAAGAACGCAGTGTTTCTTACTCCAAAAGGGTGTAGTTTTGAAGGAAGAGGTCAGTGAGAACATACTCATTTTGCTATCCTTCCTTCATTGGTTTTAGTGATGGGGTGGGTTGGAAGTAGCAGCCAGCTGAGGATGGATTGAAAGGCAAAAGAAGAAGGAAGAAGAAGGAAAAAACCATGAAAGCGTGTAGGCAAGGTGATGTGAGGTGAGTGAGGAAGGAGTTGAGATTCCAGAGTGGGTACCTCCTTTTCAGTCAGGTTCCAAGTTCGTTTGTTCTAAACCTTTTCTCCCTCTTTCCTCTTCTTCATCTTCCACCTTATCCATTCTTCCTTTTTAAGCTATTGCCTTTCTTGACTTCCGTGTGCATTGGGCCCTGGTATCATCAAGAAGTTTCTCGACGCCGAGCCAAATATTTTAATTCTATGACCTATCATCCTGCTTTCACCTGTCATTATGAAGCAATACAGCATACTATATATATATGTGTTTGTATGTATAAATATAGTCGCCGAAAATTCATCCTCCGCACCGATCGCCTTCACTTCTCTACTCACCCTCTTCCATCTCCCCAATCTACTTCCAGACGTGTCTTTTTTCGAGAGTTTACAAAGTCCAGCAATTCCATAAAGCCAACAAACATGAAACTTTTAGTCAAGCACCCCACTGTGCCTCTCGGCCATCCCAATACCCTTCAGGGTTTGGAAACGATTTATACCTGTCATGAAAACTTAAGCCAGAATCTCGAATACCGAGCGGGCCGCCCTGCCTGATATTGGGCGAGAAATGGCGCCCAATTTTCTGCCTACACAACGGACAACTGAACTCGACCGCCCATGTCGCCTCCGTCTCGGCCCGGCCGGAACGGGCCCCGCGGAGGTCTCTCAGCGCCAGCCAGCTCTTCAAGCACTTACGTCCGACGTACTGGTAACAGCACGGGAGCATCACGGGCTCGTGGTTCGGATAGTCGTCCCAGGGTGAGATGCAGATGTTGCAATTCTCCGAACCGTCCTCGATCGCCGTGGAGGGCAGCACGGCGAACGCGAGCGTTCTGGCTTCCGCCGTTCTGTTCCGGCACCTGATGTCCTCAAGTGCGATTTGCGTGTTGCGATCGATGGTGCTGAACAGGTCTAAACTCACGTCGAGCGAGTTGCGGAAGCTGTCCGTTGTCGCGGTGCTGTGGCTTATAATCGGCCAATGGTGCTCGACCCAATAGACGCATTCCTGGAGGATATCGGCGGCAGCGAGCTCCTTGTTCAAGGTCAGGTACTGCGGGTGCGAAGAGTGGTCGATGTTTTGTGGGTTAGGCCACGGGTTGAGGACGGCGAGCAGGCCGCCGCCGACGTACATCATGACTTGCTCGTCCAGGCCGGCGTCCAATGCGAGGAACTTGTACAGCCAGGACAAGAAGTTATATCGCCGCCACACTGACCGGCTCCAATCTTCGAGTCCCAGCCAAGGCATGTTATGGCTGTTCCAATACTCTCCCCGAGGGTGTGTCTGAGATGTTTGTGCGCCTCTCTCCGCCACATGGTCGCGGCATTGCTCCGCCCTCTTCAAGAGCTTATACAGGCGGCGGTCATAAGTATCTCTGCTCAATGCCACAAACGATATCTGGTGCTGTGGGAAGTCGCGGTCATCGTCGTATAGTCCCTCCAGTCTCATCGCCCTCTCGGTTGGCTCCGATGCTGGCACCCACACTTCCTCAGCCGGATCCCAATGCTGCCCTGTATCCGCCTCGGCAAAGGCCTCGACGGTTCCCTCTTCGCCAACTCTGAAACCGAAATTATCGAGGACACAGGATGCTTCGTTATGTCTCATGGCAAACGCAGGGTTGGTCCGCCACTCCTCCTGCATCGGCTTGCATTCGCAGTAGAATGCGCCGCTCCCGATGTGGTCCCTGAACAGCTTGCACCAGATCTCTGGCCAGGCGGCTTCCATCTCCATCTCCCAGTCCCTGGATTCGGCTTCCACGGGATAAGGTCTCGATAGCACCGCCAAGCACAGTTTGAGTAGCTGTAGGAGGTACTTCTCCCGATACGTTTCGAACACATGAATCCTGTCGGCGCTCAAGTCTATCCCTGGCCCCGGGAGGTCAATTTTACTGGGAATTGTGTTAAGGACTTCGTCAGGGGATTCAAAGTATGCATCGACGTTGCCGGTACAGAAGTAGCATGCTCCTTTGAAAATTTGAACAATGCTTCCTAGACAGCCCCCCTTGACGCAGTCCGCTGCGTGCAGATGAGCGCAACGAATCACGTTATAGACCCAGTGGATAAGCTTTCCGTGCGGCACTTCTTGAAAGCTATATTGGTCGTTCTCTCTGTAGACATTGTCATTTTCTCGAATGAGATGATGGTCCTCGATCTTTTCGTCTGGGAAAGGGTGCTGCTGTCTTTGGCCAGAGATCTGCGTACATTTGACTGCCCTGGGGCAATAATATCTGCGCCATAGGTGGGTGCACATATTGGATTAAGCGTCTTGGATGCTGCTTATTCTTGCCCTCGGGTGAGTGCTGTCGTTTTTTGTTTGTGGTGTATCGTTCAGGGATGGTTACTGAGTTCTCTATGTGGAAGATAATGTTTTGGTCCGATTGTATACTTGGCAGAAGGAGTTTCATTTATCATTAATTAAATGCTCATCACTCTCCCAGCACTTCAGCTGATGTCGACGACCCGATCAGTGGTCAAAAGAGCCACTTGTTCTCTAAGCATTTGTTCTTGCTGTGGTCCCGGACAGACGGAACAAGGGCCGCTTGTTGAAGACAAGAGCAGACAAAGTTCGATATAGGATTCGATTGTCAGGCTTTGTCAAAGAGTTTTCGTCTTGCCATTTCAATACGCAGAAATACACCACTGGAAGATGCCCTTGCATCTTTCCATCGGGTTCTTCGGGCCCTTTGTCCTCAAATGCTCGTTGAGCAGTCCTCTAGCAACTCCACATCCTTCCCCATTTACTTTAATTATATTTTCTGAGAAGCTTGAGCACGCAACCAAGCAGCTTTACACTGGCTGGTTATCCCGAGCTTGAATCCTGTCCACCTCCGCCGCCGCCCAAAACTCCATTCTCAACACAGCCTGGGCATCCTTGCCGGAACTACAAGGAAAGGTCTCGATCACCGAAAAAGCGACGACGATGATCGGGGAGGTTGTGATATCCAAGAGCTGCAGACGAAGAGGGATGAAGAGCCAAGCTCCGAGTCACCGACCACACGTGCATAAAGTGGACTGGGCCATGGTAACGATACACATGCTTCTCGACAACGGACTGGAGCACCAGCCGGTTCTCCCTGAGCTGCGTGACGTCCCACCAAATCTGCTTCGACTCGTCTCCCAGCTTGAATTCCCACGTGCTCGCCCAGCCGATCTTGGCAAAGCTGCCTACGACCTGGTACCGGAATATCCCAGCACATTTGAGCCAGGCACCATAGAGTTCCATTACACGGAGTGCCGGCATCTGCTTTGCGGCTCTGCCAGCGTCGGAAATGAGACCGTTGATAAACTCGGGCTTCCCGCCGGCGGAAATGCCCTGGGAAGTCATCGTTAGAACCCGCAGGTTCTGCCACACGGGTGGTGCGGTATGCATGGGTTGTCTCTTGATGCAATCAAAGAAGTCCATGGCATCTATGAAGTTGCAGACAAGAAGCTCCTCCAATACAAAGCTTCGATTGAATAGAGCTCCGGTCAAATTGTTGGAGAAGCTGGAGAAGCGCCAATTCTTGGAGGGGCATAGGTCACCATGCTCAAAGACGTGGATCTTTGAAAAGGATTCGCAGATCGTCAATACATCTGCCAAATCTACACCTGGTTCAGTGAGATTCCTACAGCATGGTAAGAGAGTAATTTCGGTTCTGGTACTGACGTTCCTCGGTGCGTTTTTGTTGCCGTGTATTCAGATGCTTCCACGGTTCGAAATGAACCCTTCTCAGCCTGGGTAGGCTATCATACATCCAATGAAAAAAGCTCCAACTGATTCTGCGCATGTTTCGGCGCAGTATACTCAGCCCGGTGATGCAGTTAGCAGCTGGCAAGTCGTATATCGTATTCAGATCAACACTATTGAACACGTAGCGCCCTCCCTCTCGCCAGTTGTCCATGAGCCCTTCGATTCCGCACGCATTACCGACATCACTTGGCGAAGAGAGACTGACCTCCCAGTTGATACCTTGATATGTTGTCCAGTCAGCCTTATTGGCATATCGCCATGTTGAAAGGATCTCCAAAAAGTCATGTGTGGCCTGGTAGAAGCAACGATTCTCCGCCATCCACTCCTCAGAAGTCTGTGGTTTCGACCGGCTCGTGATGCTGTGCTCCGGTAACGTAATCTTGAACCAGAGGTTTCTGACGTAGCTTTGCCTCAAGAGGTTTTCATCAAAGGTAGCGCGCAGCTGGCTCAACGAGTGTACATCTGAATCGACTTCGATGGTTCGAAAATTTCTGGGCTCAATGGCTCTTCGCCAGTCCTTGCATATACCTGCGAACCTTCCAGGGACGTATTCGAGAATCGTGTCTCGGATCTCCTGGGGCAGAGTAGGCCATTTTGAGTTGCCACGCGCTGTAACCATCGCTCCTAGACTTTGTCAGTATTTTTGAGGGTATTCAGTGGCAGAGTCGGAAGGGAGACTAGGAAACGGGGACAAGTGAATTTTCCTACCGAATTTTCGATTGACTTTGCGATGTGTATCAATTTTGTGTGTAAGGGAGATATTTTCATGTCCACATGAGACTTTCCATCGACTGGGGAACTTCTATACATACAGGAAACCATCCCTCCAGGTCTGCTGTGACTTGGAAGTGGCCTGAATTTACAGCGCTCACCGAACAGGCCTACGGCCGGACCTGGAGACGGCACCGTGTAAGTCAATGTCTCCACTCTGATTTCGTTGGCCGGCTCCGAGACTCCCTCACCTAGAGCACGGGCACAATGTCTGCTTGAGAAGCTGGGGCAAGTGAATGGGCCAAGTTGCCTAGAAGGTCAGTTTACTAAACCCACCAGAAGTCAAACTCAGGTTGACTCTGAGAAATTTTGATGATTGAATAATTCGATTTAATAACTATATAAACTTTTGGAGTCGGACGTGAATCTCATTGCTCCCTTTCAATACAAGTTATGTTTCTGTTGAAGTTGTACTTTGACGACCCTAGGTATGACAGAGTTACCTCTTAGATAATCTCGACATACCTCGGGAACAGCAAGAAGCAAACACGATCAAAACAAACTATAAAGTCAAGTCACAGTGTAATCTACCAATACGGAAGTCCATTAACTGATCCTGGGTTTGAACAGACTCGACTGCACAGGTATGCAGTTTACCTCACTCGGTGGTTTCTTGGGTTGTAAGTGAACAATCCCTTCAACTTGAAAGAGAATAATCCCCTTGTCATCTCCTATGTGTGTTAAACGGTACAATTAGAGCGACCCAAGGTCGTTTCTTACCTTTGAGGATAGGTATTAAATGTCAAACATTATTTTCTAACTCACTGAATCTATTACACGCACACCCAAGTCTACCTCATACCCTGGATCCAACACACGCCCAGAATCTATCTCACATTCTGAGGAAAGCCATGCAGGTTCCAAAATGTGTAATCTTGTAAGCCTTTTTCTGAGAATGGTCCAACATCATCAAGTCGACCGACCATTAGGCCATAGATCCCCTTGGTCTTCAACTATGGAAAAGTCTCCGGCATCTTCTTCCGGGCTGAGCTTTCGAAAGCTTCGAGGTGATGCCATAGTGGGACTGGACGAAGATCCAGAGCTGGGCCACTTCTATTTTGGAGACGCACTTGGATTTGACGCGATTCAGATTGGTATTTCTCTCTCGCTTCGAGAGACTGAGATCGAAACGGGCCCTCTAAGAGCCTGCAACCCAGATCCAGCCTCGGCCTCATCCATCCAGGACCTGACTTCTTCTAGTGGACTGGAGAAAGCCGCCGTAGATGCAAAGAACAAGGCTACTAGGGAAGCCCCCCAAGTTGACGATCTTACTCTTGCCAAGCTGTGCAGCAGGGAACCTCCTCAACTTCACCAGCCTGCTCTTGCCAAGCTATGCGGCAAATCCCAGGACTCGGAAGATTGCTTAGGAATCGGTATTGAGATTGGAACAGCTCGAGCTGTTGAAGTGTACAAACATGCCTGGGCAAATGTCGAAATTATCCTCATCAGTCCTCTGAGGCACAACCCAAGACGCCAGTGTCGTTGTTGGAATGGAGTCTTCTCATATGTTTTCTGACCTTTATTTTCTGGCAAGGAGATTTGAATTAGTACATTGATCAGATTGACATCTAGAGGGCAGAATTAGAAGGTCAATTTACCCCAGGTAGGTAGGTAAGCAAGGAAAGAAAACATGCGGCCCGGTAAAATCTGTGTGAGATGCAGAAGTTGGGCCCTAGGTATTAAATATGCACAAGACTTCAAGCCTAGAACCTTCCCGGTGCCTAACGAGGCCAATGCTTTTCGACGTGACTCAAATCCAGATCTTTGTTTCGTTCCCACCCCTTGCCCAATGCGCCAGAAACAAAAGCTTTGTATCGAATGTCATCTACCAGACACTCTGTGTTTCTACCCCCTTTCTATTTACTCTGTCCAGCACCAGCAGCCGCCTTCTTCTTCAAAACCACCTGATTCCTGCACCACTCATCCCAGGCCTTCTTCATCTCCAGCTGCGTCGCTGATGCCCCCTCCACATCCCCAACAACGGCATCGACGGCAGCCCGGTCACCCTTGCCGGCGTGGAACACGCTAGAAGCAGCGATCAAGCAGGCAGGCACCGCGGCCTTGGCGTGAGACTTTGTCTCGCCGGCCTTGAGCTCGGCATAAATGCCCTTCAGGACCTCAACCGCCTCCTCCAGGTCGACCTTGTCATCCGTCTTGCCGCCACTGCTACCAGATCTAGCCTTACGCGCGCGCTTCTGGTAGTCCTTGATCAGCTCAAAAGCCCGATCAGTGAGCGTCTTGATCGTCGACGTGCGGACGAGCTGCAGCAGTGGCTGCAAGATCGCCAGCGTCGTCGGGCTGCCCGCCTCGTTTCGCACGAAGATCTCGAGCAGGTCCAGCACGCGCCGCTTGAAGTTGACGACGGACTCCTTGGCGGCCTTGCGCTCCTTCTTCTTGCTCGGCGCCGCCTTTTGGCGCTGCTTGAAGACCTCGGCCAGCTTGCCGTCCAGCTCCAGCATGTCTCCGTCGCTCATGTCCGAGTCGTTGTCCGAGGACTCGGCATCTTCGTCCTTGTCGAGGCGGTGGCTGTTGAGGATCTTACCGAGCGCGTCATCAAGGTCTGCGAGGTTCTGTGCTTCTTCGTCGTCTGCCTCTTCGTCCGATCCGGATTCCTCGTCTTCATTATTCTCCTCGCCTTCCTCATCGTCACTGGCGTCGAGAGCATCGAACTCGACATTGGAATCCACCTCGGCGTCAGAACCAGCCTCATCGTCGGAATCGTCTTCGTCTTCGTCCTCCTCCATATCCTCGACATCCATATCATCGGCGTCGACGTCGAATAGCGACTGCTGTCCCTTGGCGCTCTCGTCGGCCGAGAGGACATCCAACAACAGCTCCAGTGCCTTGGGAGACACCCGGCTAGTGAAGTAGCCAAACACCCGCTGCGAGATCTCACGCAAAAGCGACGACTGCTGAGAAACAAGGGAAAGCAAGATCTCGACCAAGAATTCTGCAGCGCCTTCCTCGTCCGTCTGCAGACGAGTCTGGTACTCCTTGAGATCGCTCAGAAGCTGGAACGCATCCGGCTCCTCGTTGTACAGCTGGAAGATGGCAATCGCGTGAAGCAGCGCCAGGCCCTGTGAGATCTTGACCTCATCCGTCGAGCTCTCGCTCGCGGAAGCACTCTGCTTCATGAGCTTCTCCAACCGCTTCCGCGCTGAGTGAACCTCCTTCTTCATCTCGCCTTCCATGCGAATGTAGTCTGGGTTGATTGACTGCACTGCTGTGCAAAGGTAGTTGGAATCCTCTGCCTTTCGCGACAGCTTCGCAAAGGCCGACTGAAGACGGCTTCTGCTCAGCTCCGTCACTAGCGAGTTCGCGTTCTCCGGGATCCAAATGGGCTTAGCATATGCGAGCGAGGTCAGCTCCTGCAGAGCGGGTTCTGGTGCCGAGGTGGTCAGGCGGAATATGTATTCGATGTAGACGCGAAGATCGAGCTTGACCGTGTTAATATCCTTCCTGTGCGATGGTCAGTGTCTAGCTCAAGACATTTTGCACAGAGAGGGATCCACGCACGACGTAGTGGAAGTCTTCATTACAGGTCCGCTAAGAACCTGGATGACATCCTCGCCGGTCTCGGCCTTCACATGCTGAAGAATTTTGTCAACTGTCTTGCTCTTAGTCATCACATCAAATCGATACAGTCCGTTGTTGTTAATCAAGTTGTCGAGAATGATGCCGGTAGCCTCAGGATGCGCCGCAGAAGTCTCCTCGATGACTTTCAATGTCTTCAAAGCTGCACGGTGGAGGAAGCGATCTTCTTGAGATGCCTGATTGATGAGACAGGTCATCAGGTTTCTGCTGAAGAGGACGTCGAGGAGGTCGTCGATATCGGCGTAGCTCTGAAGCATCTTCTGGAAGACCAAAAAGCCCCTGAACTTCTGTCCCTCAGTGGCGGTCTTGGCGAAGAAGTTGTCTGTGATGTTTCGATTAGCCTGACGTCTCTACCAGCTGCGTACCCCGAAAACTCACCATCGACAACTCGCTTCCAGAAGGATCGAAACCCGTCAACATGTGCAGGACCCCTGCGCAGGAAGTGTCGCACAATTAGGTCCCATACAAAATGAAGCTGCGGCGTCCAGTTGGCCTGCTTGTTCTTGACATAGCCACCCCTCCTCGACTGCTGCTGTTGCTGTTGCTGCTTCTCAACATCATCCTGCCCGCTCTCCTTCAGGATACCCGCCAGCTCACCCAGGTTCCTCGAAGAGAGGGGATGATGGTGCTTCGCCTTGTCGCCGATGGTCAGTTCGGGGCACTGCTCGAATGCGACGAGCCAGATGCCCACACCTTCGGGGGTCTTGGCCCAGCCGAGCTCAACAAGCTGCTGCAGGACCATCTCGACGCGGGGGCGATCCAGCTGCGCCAAAGCCTGCGCAACGACCCATCCGCATTGCGGCCGCAGCCAGATCTTCTTGCCGCCCAACTTCACAAGCAGTCTGAGAATCTCGTTCCATCTGTCGGGGCCCTCCTCGTCGAGGAACAAGACCCTCGCGCGCACGAAGCATTCAAGTCCGAAAAGCTGTCCGAAGTACAGGTCTCGCTCCTCCTGGCCCGAAATGTTTCCTCCGAAACGCGTCCTCTCCATCAACATCTCCAAGACCTTATCAAAAGTCAGGCCGGGATACTTTTCACGGCACAAGTTTCTCGGCGGGCCGAGAAGCTGGCTCAGAATCTCGGTCAAGACGACGCTGTACCCCAACCTCGACGCCGCTCTTCCGCTGGCAAGACCACGGAACAGTCGCCAGTCGAGATGTCTTGTCAGAACTGCCTCCGTCACGCCCTCACCATCGAGCAGACTAGAGATTATGGCGCCAGCGGCCTCGAGGCGGTCCGTCTCATTCTCGCTGCTGAGGAGGTCGTACAGCTTCGCCTCGCGAACGCGGTCCTTGCCGGTCGAATTCTCGACAAAAAGCGTCTTCTCCAACAGAATCTTAGGCAGCCTGGTACCGCTTCCACTATGGGTGGCATCGGCGACATCGTTCGAGTCCGGGGTGATGCTGCCGTCGGCCGAGGCATTGTGGGAGGATTTGGCGCGCTTGTTGGACTCGGCTGCCTTGAGGGCCTCTCTCTCGGCGCGTTTGCGCTTTGCGCTCGCCGTCTTGGTCATTGTGTGAACTCGGTTATTGCCAATGGCGGTCTTTTTTTCCTTTGCCGTAAATCGAAGATAAGATTAGATTTGCGTGTAAATTTGCGACGTTTTCTTTTTTGCTTCTGGTTCTTAGATTACAGGGCGCATACGCTCTGATCGCCGCCAGGGTCCCGTCCAAAAAGTTTGGAGTGTAAAAAGTTCTGCCAAACTTTACCGCCCGGCAAAAAAACGACTTTTAGTTCACCTCACCCATGCCCCACCTAAATATAGTGGGGGTTTCTGCAGGTTTCCACTGTTACCCGCGATGGTTCCACAACTCAATTCAGTGCCAAAATGTCACAGTGAGGCGGTGACATTACCTTATAATAAGGTATCTTGGCTTTCAGAGGGAACCTCTCAGTTCTCGTGTCTTAAAAGCCTCCTCTGATCCGTGAATTTTCTCCCTGTAACTCGCTTCATTCTAGTCAAAACATGCTCATCTCATACTTCGTTGCCTTTGAAATTATGAAGGCCTTCTTATCAGCAGCTCCGTCCAGCGCGTGCTTGGCTAGCTGTTCTTCCACATAGCATAGCTCTGAGACTCTGAGACATGCTTCACTTTGTCCCGCCGCATGATGAAGCCACCTTGTTCTATCACATCCCTTCTTATAACATTCACTTATTGTTTCATATAGGATGGCAACCCCAAGGTTTCAGGGGTATTGCAGTTGACGCTACGAATCGTGGCCGAGTTCATTCAGAACTTTGCGCACCCTTGAAGAAAGTCACTTACCCTTAGAGGAGTTTCAGATTTAGATCCATGGCGCTTAAAGAGGAAACATGGATCTATCACTGGCTCATGTGAACTGACAAATGCCTAAGACTTTCCTTCGGAGCCCAGCCCATGAGTGACCTGAAACGTTCGATAACCCGGTCTTGTGGAATTGCACAACGGCAAAGCATATTCAGAGCTCTAGATTCAGAGCCTTCAGATTAAATAAGCAGTAATTGGAGGTCTCTTGTTCACTCATTCCTGCATTTCACAGCCTGCTGCGCAACTCCGAGACCGCCGCTGCTCTGCTTGAGCAAGGCTCGCGTCCCGCCGCTGAAGACTTGAGCTATCTCGAACTACCTATGTCTGAAGGATAATGATATGTGATCAAAAAACATATGTGTCATAGTTGGTTACAATGCCTTTTCTGCCTATATATGCTATCTCAGCTTTCGATGTAGCGTCCAGGCCCCCATGATAGGGATGAACGAAACAAGAACACGCCCAGCAGCTCATAAAGTTAGGTCGAGGATGGGCCGTTGCACAATGGTTAAAGGTTCAGGATACAGAGAACACCGATAACATGAACCGCTACAGAAAAGGCTGGAATTAGACTGGCTCAAGATAATTGCAGTTTCATAGGGGCAATCATTCCAACATCGCCGCGGGGCTTTTCTTCTGACTATCATTCATTTCAATGAACATAATTTCAATACTGAGGGACTACAAGTCCAAAAAAGGGTGCCGCAGGCAGAAAATTAAAATGAAATGGGGCTAGTAGGGGGGGAATTACCTGATGCGCAACATTGCAGTTCAGAGTCGAGCGGGACACCCCTTGGGAGCCATAGGCATATTCCATTCCTGGCCCTGCATAATGCCACACGCAGCTCATTGTTTTATTCTTTTCCTCTTTCTGCAATTGACTTCTAGATCAATTTGGAGATGGAATATGAACTTACCTGCGAGACAAAGGGTTCTGAGATGACAAAAGTAGCTCTGAGGCTGCGTATATGGTAGGGCATTCGATCATGAGGGTAGGCATTCGGGCCAACAAGACCATCTATAGAATGCGAAACAGGTAAAGTCTCGAAGCCAGATACAAATAAAACCAACAACATGGATTGTGTCACAGCTTGAATGACATCATGTTTGCTGATGAAGTGGAATAAGGTTGGAAGGTTCAAAATCTCCCCACGTCAGATCATTCTAGAGAGGAGCGAGAAGTTCCCAAGCAATTTCTGGGATATCAACCTCGTCTATAACATCAGAATCCCCAACTACAGCCCTCCGACAGAGACGTGGAACTCGATAATAGTTCCACCTACCTCTCTTTCAAATCGAGCATAGATCTATAGACTCTGCGCTACTCACACTTCCCATATACTCTGTGTAGCATCAAGACAACGCCAGAAGCAGGGTAATGCAACTCCATCTCTTTCAATCCCAAAGGGCAACGAGCCAGGTCCCAAATCCCTCTCCTGGATCTTCGAATTGCGTTGTTTGCCTGATGGACCTTGTTTTTGCTCGCGCCTCGCATACCATCGAGTTTGTCCACACGACCATTCGACAATTACATCCTTCCTGCCGTCTTCGTCTTCTAACCCTCTCTTTACCAGTAGAAGCTTCCACTACTGTGTATACCGGCCTTTGTGATATAAAACACAGTCGACAAATATCATTTCTCAAGTTTATTACCTGTTTATGTTTTGAAGACATGGAACTCCCGCAGCTATCGTTTCAGCTCTTGTATCGTTCTCAAAGGATTCCCCCCTCCCATCTGTTTCGCGAATTCTATTCACTGTGGTCCTTAAAACAACTTCCTTCGACATCCCCTCAGTCACCTCCAATACTGGCCACATTCTACACCTGAGATACACACCCTTGGAATTATATACATGTGACAACAACCAGTAATACCCCGTATATACTCATCTAGAACCCTAGATCCTACAAGAACCCAATGGATCTCTTTCTGGATCGCCCACAACCTCTTTCTCATTCCCATACGAGGCAAACCTTCGTCTCCCGGAGCCAAAGGTTGCTGTGTCAATCATCGCTACAGATCACTTCCAAGGGTATTCAGATGATATATTTCACTGGTACAAGTATCACAGCACGATGAATAGTAGAAAGTTGCCCCCAACATAAAATCAGCTCCGACCCCCCAACGTGCTGCCCTGTTGCCAATAGCAAAGACCAAAACCCAGGGCCAATGGGTTCTGGCTGCATAACCATCTCCCCCTGGGCACGTCGCGTTACCCCGGGCATGCTCAAGTACAACTCGAGCTGCCCCTCAAATCTTACTTTTCAGCATCTCAATTTCCTCAGGTCCTATGCCGCTATTCGCAACCTGCTCAACTCATAGAAAAACATCATTTTAACCCCAAGCTTTCATCTATTCTTGCGCTACGTTCATTCCATGATATACCTCAATAGCCGGACGAAATCTCTTACGAGAATTTGCTCCCCCCTCATTACTCTTACAACCTCCCCACTACATCATCGCCCCAGCTGGTCCACAGTGAGCGGACATGAGGCACACGGCGTGGTGCAATGTGACTGAGCTAGCCAGGACATCGTACAAGGCCTTCTACCCAGACTTCAAGCTCTATCACAAGTATCTCAGACTGTGACCCCGAGATATACAAACGGGGATCAATATGGCATATACCTACCTCTACTTTCGCTCTCACAATTGTCGCTCTACGCTCTCCCTATGGAAGGGCAGGCGACGTCCGCACTCCTTCATTCATACGACAGAGCCTCTCCACTGAACATCGGTATCCAACAAACCTCCCACCCACCGGTCTCGTCCCGCATCCTCCCAGATCCAAGTCAAGACGGATACAGCCACCCAGCCCGACCCATGGCAGGTAAGCCTGACAGCCTGACAGCATCGAGCATCAAGCAGGCTCTCAGCACCGGCTCCGGTGCCGAAAGGGGCTCCCGCTAGGTCCACGAGGGGTCCAGAAGACCAACCGCAACTCGAACGATCCAGATCTCCACCCGCCCGGCCGCGAGGCCGAAAGACATAAAGAACCAAACGCCGATCCGTGATCCCTATCTGCGCCAAGCACTCCCATCCCGCCTCCGTCTCTGGTTCGCGGTCTCGCGATGCCGCGCTTGTTGAGCAGAATTCAGGGGGGGACGAACGGGTTGGACAGTTTCAGGGGTGTGGCGATGTGAACAATGATAGGGAAACATAGCCAGCACGGGCTCTTTGGACTCCTGATCAGCCCTCTCTCACGGGAACTAGGCATATTTCTAGAACGATTGATGCCTGTCAAGGACAAGTAGATATCACGGCGTTGAAATCCGCCTCACGCCCTGAGCACGTTACCAATATAGTCGGGACACCAGACTCTAGCTAAACGCCGTCTCCCGTTCTGTCTCCCGTCTCAAACTCCTAGAGCACGCCATCTATGAACCCTTCAAGAGATGGTATTCCTCCGTCAGGCACAAGATGCGGATGCTAAGAACAACGAGGCTGCTAGCAAACGCCTCGAATCATGCAGAACACGACTCTGCCCTCCCGCAACCCTTCTTCACTCGCTCCCGCTTAGCTCAGGAGAAACGGGGTCGCTACCCATCGTCCAGCCTGGCGCCATTCCAAAAGCTACTCACTCACGTCGCCACCCTTCTCTTTGTCTCAATCCTCGTGGGGAGAATGTTTGATGTTTTAGCTCGGAGGCGCCATGCCCGTTTGATCACACTGCTTCTCTCTACTTGCGGTTCCCGTCTCCCCCTCAAAAAAACCCACCAGGCACTCAAATGCCAACAAGGTACTAATGTGAAAGCTTCCGACTCGACCAAGATGGACACGCCACAAACGCATGTTAGTCGAGAGGCGCCGTCACCAAAAAAGCGTCCACCCCAGCGGGACCGCAAGCACTAGATCTAATTGTCCTTCACACGCCAAACTTCGACGGGACTTCGTAATAAGTCGAGACGAACAAAGGGAATGCAAGATTTGTAACACGCTCGGCGTCACTGAGAAATAGGGGTTTGCATACGTATCGTCGCCGCATTGACGAAACGGTCCGGAGGAATGCTGCGGACATTAGGTCGCCGCCGCCGCCAGAGACAACTTGCACCAACGCGGACTGTGAACGGCGGCTCGGCCGGCCGGTCGATTCATACCGGTGCGGCCGTGGCGGTCTCGCCCGATCTGGCCGTTGCTTGTTGTGGGAAGGGGATGTATGTTTGAGGTCTCGTAGAAGTGGGGGAGGGGAAGGCAAAAACAGCAGAGGGACCAAGGCAAGAGACAAGCGAGCGAGAAAGAAGACCCCGGTGTTCCTGAAGCCGTCGCGGGACCACATACAGGCCGTGACAGGCTCATCGGACAATTGTTCGCCTGTGTAGTTGCGAATGGGTGGCTCAAGACCAGGGTAGCACCCGCCTAGCAATGGCGCGCGAGATCAACGTGACTGGCAAGTTTCGGCTGCCTTGTTGGTTTGGGATGTGTGGACATGCTTCAAGGCATTGTGTTGGCTCACACTCCCAGATGCAGGAACGGCGGTGGAGGGCCTATTCCGGAAGCTCGTTCGTACTGACTTGATCCCGCAGCATTGGCTGGTGGTGCTGTTGCTGGCTATTGCTGGCTGCTGCTACTGCGACATACATGGATTAGGTAATGGAAGAGTCAGGCCAGACCCGTCGGTCAGACGGGCAACACAGCATACGAGCTTGGCTCACTGGGTGATATCGTTCGTTTCAGACATCGGTGCGGGTTGCCCTGCTACTCCAAAGCATAGGTCGGTAGTGTCGGTAGCAACTATCGCCGGGCAATTAATGAGAAACAATCAGTCCCCGGTCCGCATGCATGGCGACATGTTTCGACCCAACTTTGTATCTTTCTATCGCATTAGCCGAGAGCTGAGGAATCGTTCATCAACGGAGCGGGTGAGTTCTTGGGAGATGTAGGTTTGTGGTTGCTGCGCCCCAAAATAGAGCTCCCCTTGATAGCGAAAGCGGGGAACCCAGTCCCAAAATCCCATGCTCTCCAAAGTCAGTCTCAGCCCAGCAACATCCAGCGGTTCCGGGGTTCGGTCAGATAGAGAGGTTCGAGAGAGGGGTGAAGGAAGCTTGAAAGAGGAGCCGCAAACCCCTGAGCTGATACCAAGATCCTTCGACAGCCTTGCCATCACGATATCGTCAGCAGATGCAAAGTGGCACTCTCTTGTATTGATCCGATGTCAGCTTGATGGATTCTCGGCGTCAATGATGTGATAGTATCCGTAGCCGCAGAAGAAAGAAATCGGAGTTCGTCCGTACGAGCATGCCGAGGGATGGGATACCGACTCCACTGAGCCCCCAAAGCTGAGCTGAAGCTCCGCTCGAATGTTACTGGTTCCTGTCCCATCCGTGTCGTGCGCTGCCCTGTTCCTTGGGCACGTCCCATTCGAGAACCTCCCACCCCCCCTCATCCCCCCACCACCACACCACCAAACGACGTCAACCAGACCCGCCAACCGGACCGTAGTAGTAGTGCCAGCTGCCAAACCGGGATGACGGCGGCTAAAGACGTCACCGTTGGGACACCTATCCTTGTGAGAATCACGTGAAATAGCACATGACTTCGCGTCGGAGCAGGGATTCGGAGACAAGGTCTGCAGGGGCCTATTGTTGACATGAATCGCGAACCCGCAGTTTGTAAACAAAGTGCCCGCCAACGAGAAAGGAGAGGGAAGAAAATTCCCCTCACTTGAGTATGAAGAATGGCTATTTCCGACTCGCAGTGCAGCGCGCCGTCTGCACCCGCTTTCGTGCTTCACCATAGCCGTACCAACGAGGAAGAGACAAAGAAAAGCTCCGTAACGGCGTGAACGACACCGTTTGCCAATTGGACTGGGCCCGGGCTAGAGATGATCCTCAAACGTTGAGCCAGAGACTTTGGGTAAGAAGGAGGAACGGTTCTGGGTTTCCACGTTTTTCGTATTTTTCGTGACTCGAAGCCGTGTGAAAGGTGTTTGATCGTGGGTTGGAGGGGCAAGGGGCAAGAGAGGGGGATGAACGGGAGTCTGGAGGGGAAGAGGAGGGGCACCGAGACCCGAGTGAAGGGAGGGGGGAGAACGCCATCGCGGGATCTATCACGCGGCACTGACTGGTGTGTCTATGTCGGGCGCGCGACAAGGCCTGCAAACCTTCTGCCAGTATCAAATCCAAGCTGAAGGTTCGGCTCTGACAGCTTCCAAGTGCATTGGGACGCCTCATTGGATTGTTTCCGATGCCTGTCTTGCCTATCATGCAGGTAATCTTCAATAGCGTGGGATGGGCTCATCAATCCAAGGCATCACAACCCGGTAGCGCCGTCGGCCAAGTCTTGTGCGCGCGAATAAACAAACAAGGCGAGCCGTCCAATCTTGTTTCACGATGAGATCTCTCGCTCTCTTTGAGCCCTCTCTCTTTCGGTCAAGCTTGACCGACATGCTGTCTATCCTATGAGCGACCTCTACTGTGATTGGCAATGTTGTTGTTGACGATGGGTACCAAGGTCGCTCTCGATGCGGCCCTGGCACTGGATCTAGCGGTAACCCCATAGCCTTGACGCTCCGAATTGTGCAAATGCCCCAGAAAAGGACGATGTCACCGCATGAGAATGACGGCCCGGTTGGGCAAAATCTCGATACAGACGGTCAGCCGAGCTCTCTGCCTTGGGGGAGGGTCTGCAGGCCGGGGGGCTGTTCTTGAGTCTTGACGATCACTGCCAGGTTCGACCCCGAGAAGATGACGTCTGTTTTAGAGCCGGACTAGACCGGCCGCAGGTGATCGGGGCGGGAGGTGCGTGATCGTTGCTTTTCACATCGAGATGGCCCGGGGGGGGTTTCTCGCACCGCCCTCTACGTCGCCGCCCATACGCAAGCCCGACTTGTTAGCCTCATAGTCATGGATGATGGCCAGAACTTGTTTTCACGATGTGCAATTGCCGGGTGAGACCATGTCTTGTGACATGGGAAGATGCCTGAAAACCATGTTTTTGTTGTGTCCATTGCTTCTCGAATTCCCTTCTCGCGTCTGATGAGTCAAATCACGATCGGGCCATATGCGCATTATCACAACCCTCGTCAAGCTTATGTCAGTAATTCTCCGACCGCATTGAAGGAGGTGTGAGTGTTGGGGTTTCGGTCGCTTCTTGGCCCTGGCCCGGGATCGGGCTATACTAGAAACTGAGCATTCGGATGATTCATCCGCACTTTGCTCTTTGAGCATTATCATCTTACGCTCTTCAGGACTTCAGGAGTTGGACCCGCTGACCTGCCGTGTTGAACCCTGTTTGGTGTGAAGCTCGTGCGATTGATAGAGCAACGGGAAATCAGACTCATCTTGTAGTACCGGGGATGTTCTCCATGGCGCGCAGGTAGGCTCAGGCACAACGCCGTAGGTCCTGACTCTCGTCACAAGGTTTGAGGCGCAACCCGAATAGTTCCAAGACGGCCCGTCAGATTAGACAAGCTCGTCAAGGCAGTTTGCGTCAGCCACTGTCAGTGATCATTTAAATTCCTCCGGCCGCCTTCACCGACGGCCAAGTGTACTTGCCTGTGCACGCGCTTGGACTTGAAGCTGTCGACTCTCAGTCACGACCCCGACGCCAGTCACTAGTGCGCCAATGGCAGTCGCTGGCTTGGGTGAAGCGGAATCGGGAGGATGAGTGGGCTGTGTTTAGCTTGTCGCTCGTGGTGTATCCGTAAGTCGTCGCGGGGTTCAAGGGCTCAGTGAATAGGACGCGCCCCATGGACTTTTTTTTTTTCTCTAACCAAGCAACCGCAGATTACGAGCGGAACAAGACAGGGCAGGCCGGCCAATATCAACAGGGTTGACGATAGCTTCGGCTCTTTGCATGTTTCCTCCATTCTTGAAATCAAGAGCCTCATTTATCGTTGCGCAACCCCGGGCCAGATGGAATTCTTCAAGCCTGTTTCGAGACAACCAGGTGACCAACATGGTCATGCATCAGGTCAAGTTTGGCTCAAAGCCGAAAGTCGGCTTGTCGTTCGAGCTGCTGACCGAGAACGAGCTTTCAAGAGCTGTCGAAAGTAAACAAATGACCCCCTACAGTAAGACGGCGGGCGTCTCGAGGGAGCTGGGGATGCTACATGGTAGTCGCCGCCAACGAGAGGGGTTCTTAGTTCAAACCTATTTGCACACGGGAAAATGACAAACATGCCCTTAGCCGGGCCTTGCAAGTGGAGCTTCAAGCCAGGATCCTGTCGCTGGTGATGTTGTCATGCTGTCCCAGAGGAAACCGAGAGGCACGAGAGCCTGTATCGAGAGCTTCCTCAACCCCACTTCGTGAGTCGTGAGTGCGTAAGTCCTCCTGCAGGAAGCTGGAGCATCTCACCGTCGACAGCCGCGGTCGCCGGGGGAGCTTCGATCCTATGGAAGCTAGGGCGGGCCGGCCAACACGGCGGAGCATCAGAAACATGGCTGTACGGACGGAGACTTGAGTCTTGGACTGCATGCAGTAGCTGCAGCAGCTTGACGCAGCCCGGCCATCTGCCCGCAATGCAAAGTGCAGCTCTGCATCCGAGGTATCCATCTTCATCGACTATCCATCCAAATGAACTGCATAGTCTCTGCATCTGGGCTCGCATACGCGCATCAACTATGCAGCACAGCTGCAGCCCGCATGGCGCCGGTCTTGCTCGTCCCAGTTGCTTCTGTTGCCCCGTCGAACAAATTCATGAGACGCAGAAGGGTACAAACCGACCCTGTCATTGCAAACAAACATCGGCCGCTTCTGCGGCCATGTCGCAACTTGGATACCTTCATTCGACCTTCATCTTCCCAGCCGCCGGCTTCGGATCGACCTGACCACTTAGCGATATACACGTGCCGATGTGTAACAAATCGATGTCTCTATCACTGTTCCTCGATGCACGGTGCCTATTGTGGAGATGAAAGACTGAGCGTGCCGCTTCACCGCCGGCCGGTCTTAGACAGACCTTGGCTGGCACCTGGCATCTGGCAGCCTTCAACACCCGTGCCCTCAACTTTGGTGTCGAGCCGTCAAATCCGCATCATTCAAATGCTTGACCAGCGCCGCTGATGTTGGCGTGGTCATTGATCACCGGGCAAACTGCCATTCGCCCGTCTGTTCGCCGGCCAGTCAAGCCGGGCAAGCCAAGACCCAGGCCTAGACCGGCTGGATGGATCATTATCAGGGAGTTGACACGGACAGTTAGGTAAAGACTCGAACTCTGTTGCTCTGTCAGAACGCTAGTTGTCAGTCCTCGTCTTGATGCATCGCCTGGTCCGGGTTCGGTGTCTGCTGGTATTCCCAGCCCCAGTCCCAGCCTGAAGCTCCAACTGAGCTCCAACTGAGCTCCAACTGAGCTCCAACTGAGCTCCAACTGAGCTCCAACGAAGCTCCAACAAAGCTCTCTCTTGGGTGTCTCTTTTCTTCCCAAGCTCCTGAGCTTTTACTACCTTACGCATCGAGCTCTATCTGTCCGTATCCACTTGCCTTATGAAACAAGATGCCCTGTCAGCCAGCGCCGCGAGAACCGTGTCTCAGCGCCCACCAAATCCTGCGTTTCTGTTGCCAGCATTGACTGACCACGGGCCAATTGCAACGTCCAATTCATGTGACAAGAGGTTCTGGCAGGTCCAAATTGTTTATTCGAGAACCGCGATCAGTTTGAAGTCTGGGTCGTACGGGACGATGAAGCAGTGAAAAGCAATCCTGAGGTTCCCGGGTAGGTAACGAGAGCGGAGCCCACCCAGCCCAGCACGCACTCGCATCGCACGAGACAGAAGCCGGGGCCAGGACCGGGGTCACGTCCTAGGCCGATGGGCGGGGGACAGCAAGGGATTGCCTAGGCTTGGCTGAGAGAGTTGAGGCAGAGCGGCCGAGAGCTCTGGCCAGTCGCGATGGCGGAGATGGAGGTGAAGCCCTGCGACCTGCCGATATCCCCTTGCCAGTCCCCAGTCAAAGCGCAGCTGATCCCAGCCGATCCCACGTCTTCAGCCCAGGGCCGGCCCCGTTGGTTGCTGTGGGGAGAAGATGACGATGGGGGTTTTTTTTTACCGGGTCACTACGTTTTTTTTCCTTCGAGTTTTCTTCCTGTCTTCGGAACCTCCTTTTGGTCGTTGCTGGACCATTGCTGAGATCCGCTTTGTGGAGGGAGGGTCTTTGGAGCATTTGATGGAAAATTCTTTGCAGACGTACTCAGCTATGCAAATTGGTTTAGTTTAGAGTCTCACGACGCGGCGCCGTGCACTAGTCTCTGTGCCAGATCTGCCATTTCTCGGCTCTTGTCGCGCGGTTGAGGCCGAATATCTCGGCAGGGCCGGTTTTCCTTAGACTGGGGGCCCGTTGGCTGGCCGGACAGCTGGGCCGACTAAATACGCTTGCAGTGCATCAGGACTGCGAGATGGGGAATACGAGCAAGGCCACACAGATGGTCGGTACCCTATTGTACGTCATTGCTGGAATTGTGATTTCTGCAGCCCTGGCGTTTTGACCTTCTGAATGTCACTGATGCGGGCCATTGGGAGGCCGTCTCGAGGTCACCTAGGAATGCTCTTGTCTTGCGTATCGGTAAGAGTAGGAATGTTGGACGAGTCCTGAATAGGCGTTGCAGCCAAGGATCGACGTCCCGAAAGAGCGAACAATTGTACTTTGTTATCCCCATTACTGACTTGTTTGTCGACGGGATAAGCCTGTGAATAATTAGCGGCCAGCAAGCCACTCGCAATTTTTTTTGTACCTGAGAAGAAGAGAAAAAGCCTGACATGGTCCATAAGCACCACGCCATTTTTTTCCAACCTTGTCTCAAGCAAGACCCTTCTCGCAGGCTACGACCCGGCAACCGAAGAATGCAGCAAGGAGTCATTTAGGGCCCTGAAGTCTCACTCCATCTTTCTGCTTACCCCCGGAACCGTCGTCGCCTGTGCCCGCAGCACTGGAGGTGCCCTGCAGCGGCAGCATCATCAACAGGTCTGGGTTCGGGGATGTGCCTCCAGGGGCGTCGTTGCTTGGGACCATCAGGTCCGAGTAGCAAGCTTGGTGTGCCGTCTGGCCTGAGCCCAAGCTCAAGGGATGACGAGACGGGCAAGATTCGGAAGATCAAGGGCGTGGGAGCCCTGTCCGAAGCAACCAGGCGTTTCCGTTTCTGCGGCTGCTACAGGTAGCCTTGCCAACCCTGTGTCCAACATGAGGATGGAGGTTTTTGTCCAGGGTCTTTTGGCGAATGAGGATAGAAACGGTGTAGGAAGCGTGTGACACAATAGGTAAGGCGGCGGCGTCTGGTGTAATTGCCAGCTCCAGACCCTGAACGCTGGTAGGTCAAACAGCCGGTTGCTCAGAGCAGGGGGATAAAGTCAGTGAGCTGGCAGACAGGCGACAGACAGGAGAGACAAGGCACTACTGCCCTGTCTCTGAATGCTGTATCCGTAGGTGTGAAGGAGTACATACTCGCACGTCCAGTGCACTGCAGTAGCATTAGGAGGTGCTCTTTAGCATGGCACACCCTGGACAGGGGACTGGTTAATAGGGCGATACGCCAACTCACCGCTCATTTCCAAGCTCGCAATGGTTACTGGTGGTGGTGTTGGTGGTGATATGCGGCGCGGTCGGCGGTGCTGAACTTGCTCTGATGGTTTCCCGCGCCGAGTAATGATGTAAGTCGACGGTCTAGGCCCACTTCTACCAAGTGGTGTTAGCTAGTGCTGGGAGAAGAGGCATTTTGGAGGTGACAGTGCCCAGCTGGCAGGTTGGCTGGCGTTGTACGCAACCCCGTGGACGTGTCGAGCTTACTTGGTCGACTCGGTTCGAGGGTCGTGTGAACGGCGCTTAGCAGTTGACTCTTCGGGCAGCCTAGCGTCAGCCATCAGCCACACGGCGGTCATCGTCAACTAGATTCCGTAGTCAACAGCCGGGGCGACGGTGAAGTTGACCGTAGTTGATAGAAGGGGGAGGGGTAGGATGACAGCGGCCGTTGGGGGTAAAAAGGGACGAGCGGGCAATGGCTTGCGGTGGACGCATGTCGTTGCCAGATGGATGGATCACGGGAGGCGCGCATGGTTGGTCGTCGACGTAGTCCTCGCCTGTGCGCACCCATTGAATCTCGGATTATAGTTCAAAAGACCGCTGGTGCTGCTCGTATCTGGGGAGATTCCTCAGTGATTTCCTATGACCGGTGTTATGCTCGATGTACTCTTGTCGTCAAACAAGGTGCTCGAGTCGGACTGGCATTGGGATTGCGTCGGGCTTGCTGCACTAAAGCCAAGAAGACAGTCGAAACTTGATACTGCTTTTTGCTGGGCCCGGCGCTTCTTCGCAATGGGACTTTTGGCCGAAAAAAGGGAGGGCCAATTTTGTTCAATTGTCCAGCAAGTGAATCAGGTCGGCGGAGCGCTTGAGGGCGACAAGTCGAGGCAGAGGTGCGGCATAGAGGGGCTTTGTTCGAAGCTGCATTGTATGTTTGAGCGTGCACAGCACTAGAAGAAAGCACAACGCACAAAGAACACAACGGAGCGTTTAATCCATTCAAGGGGTTCGAAACCTCCTTGCCTTAGGTTGTTCCTGGCTAAAGGGAAAGTCTTCAATTGGATGCCTTCCTTAGCACGCTATGTACGGAGTACTGTGTACGAATATAGAGTAAAGCCTTGCACCTCAGGTTTGACCATTGCAGCAGGAAGGAAGGACGGAGTACAGAGTACCTGCCCTAACAGCACTTACAGCAGTGGAGGTATGGAGGTAGGAAAAGACGTACCTCCGCACTTTCCTCCTATCCTACCTAGCATCTGGGCCGGCGCCGGGTCCGCTGCACGGTTTTTTTCTTTTCTTCATTTTGTCTCCCTGCAGACGGAGCACCGGGCTACCAAACCCTTCCACGGGGCAACCCGTTCTTTTCCCTTCTTTTTCGCCTCACTAACATGGAAAACAGCGGGGTCAGAAAGGGTTTTCTCGACGCTTGGTATGAGGTGGTCCGGGTCCAGCTTACCGATAGCTGGTGGGCTCTAGAACCCTCAAGGGCTGCAGCAACCGCAACGGGTCGACGGGTCACCCAACATCGACGTGACACTGGTTTGATGGCGGTTTACTGGATCCCGTTCCGAAAGCTGCCCAGCGACCAGCTCCGGCGCTCCAGTCAAGGGCGACCGCAGAGACCACAGACCACCCCGCGGACCACTGAGGGACTTGGGGACGGCATGTTGTGCGCTCACAGACCAAGTTGCGAACATCAAAAACTCTTCTCGGCGGTTTCCAATCTAACGCCAGACAGGAACATGGCCGGTCGGGTGGGTGACGACTGAGGACGAGAGCCACTTGACGCTCTGGAGACGGCTCCGATCACTGGACAAGGAGACCAAGACCAGGACCACACAAGGCCTCGCACTTCTCCGTATCAAACATATTGACCTTTGGACGCTACCGATACTACCGAGTCAACAGGATACGGCGTAGAGTACGTGCACAGCGCCGGGTCCTAAAACCTCCTAGCGAGTACACGGGAGGCCCAGCACGCCAGCAGCACGCCTGCGGAGGGTTGCTCACGTCGGGCGGAGAAAGAGATGGAGAGGGCCCCTAACGCCTCATCCGATAACATCAACTCTACGCCCCAAAACCCAGCCGCCAGCGGCCATCGGTGGGGTGTGGAACTTTCAGGCGAAGCCGCTGTAAATCCGTCAATCGTTGCGGCAACCGTCTGTAAGGGGGGGAAGTTTCCCAAGGAACTGGTGCCAAAGTTGGGGCCCCTGTACGCCGCAACGGCGTTGTTGGGCGCCTGAGTCGTCGGGGGATGCTCGTGGAGTCCAATTCGGGTCTGCCCCCTGATGGTACCTAGCCGGGAGGGTGAGAGGCCCAATTACAGCGTTGGCATTCGTACATACTACAGCGTCACGTACGACTACGGCGCAAGGTACCTCGTGGGAAGACAGGGCGAATGTGGGCGCGGGCGTGGTTCATGTCGTCAATGCTGGGTGGATTTGGGGTGTGTGTCGGGCGTGTACGGATATCTGCAAAAGACATGCGGACCTGTTTGTATTCGCGGGTGTTAGTCTCCAATCTCAGCAGGGCATCGAGATGAAGAATTACTCGTACCTGCTTTTGGGGCCATGACTTGCGGCATAAAAATGCCTGTGCTGGCTGCTTGTGCTGTGCATATCGGATCCGAGGACACCAAGGGTGCACACGGGCGAGCTTGAAGCGCATTGGCTGAGGAAAGCGGAATTTGGTGCGATTGGCACGATTTTGCTCGATTTCTTGCTGCACAGCACAGATAACCTTTGCTATCCGCCTTTACATTAGGTATGCCCGCTCGCGAGGTGCAAAGTGTGGCTAACGAAAGGCCCTGACGAGGTGGAAGCTTAGGTGAGAAAATTACCCTGCCTCTTTGGTACGTACCTCGAGCCTCGAGCCACGTGCTCTTTGCTTGGGTCGTTCTCTGCCTCTGCCTTGGAAGCTCAGGCGTCCGACCATTTGTTTTCATCCTGGCAGAACAATCGATCGATGAGCCCCGAAAGAGGGCAAGGCGACGCAGGGCAGAAGAGAGAAAGCAAGATATTCTATGCTCAATGAATACACAGAGGCACACACACACACACACTATTCCTTGGCAACGTGTGGAGTGGGGGAAGAAGAGTACGAGGAAGTACGGAGTTAAAGAGGAAAAAAAAAAGGCACGCTAGAATAAGGTGCGGATGCAATACCAGGAATGGCCCTGTGTAAATGGCCAGCAGAGGAAGACCGTACTATGTAGACGAGAGGCAGACAGGGCCATGCCATACTCGGTGTATCCAATGGCGTTGGTGCTGCTTCTGGTGTAATACCTTGTGCAGCGCATGGATGCAAAATGCGGCAATATCATTTGCTCAGTAACAGTCAGACTGGTCCAGAGATAGAGATGGAGATAGAGAGAGAGACACACAGATGCACGCAGACAGACGCTGAGAGGGGAAACAGTCAGCCAGACTGCAACTGGCAAACGGCAAGCAAGCAAGGCAAGGCAAGGCAAGAAAGAGAGACATGGTCTCCATCTGCATCTGTCTGCATCTCCATCTACCTAGTGCATCACCTCCCTGTCAACGCTGTCCACCCAGAAGCTCTGGATGCAACTGCAAGTCCGCAGTAGCTGCAGCAGCAACCAAGTCTCCCCTGACAACCAGTTCAAAGTTGACTTTCAGACTTGCTTAAGGCGCGGTAGGGGGGGAGTATCTTGGCCTTGGGTTACGCGCAGAGAGAAGATCACCAAGGAGGCTCCACGACGAGGGGAGTCCATCGCGAAGAAGGGAGTACGTACCAGGCTGTCAGATACGTACCCAAGGTAAGGTAAGGTAAGGGAAGGGAAGGTACCTGAAGAGAGTACGTACTCCGTACAGTCTACAGAGCCATGTACCGCCCCCTTGGTCCTTTCCTACCTTATCCGCACCTTGGCTTCACTACTACGTAAGGTATCCGTAGTCTGGGCTGGTCCCCCCCGTTTGGCGCTCCCCTGTTCTAGTTCTGGTTCTGGAGCTGATGCTGGGGTTTGTCCTGGTTCTGGCGCTGGTTGCTGAGAGAGAAATCCATCAGACAAGGCATGCCATAAGGCCAGGTAGAGCAAGGCAAGGCAAGGCAAGGCAAGAAGCGAGACGAGGCGAGACGAGGTACGGATACATGGAAGAGATACAGTACCTTACTTGGTCTTTGTATACTTGTATACTTGTATAGTTGCGTAGGAGGACTACCGACCTTGGTAAGAGTAGAGGGATATCGTCGGCGGCTGCTACGTAGAGTATGTGCAGTGCGTGCCTGCTATGCTGTGCTTATGATGTCTCGCGCTCTCTCTCTCTCTTTCTCTCTTGCTAACTAACCTACCGTATCTTAGTCCCGGCATGTCATCTTGTACCCGTTCCTGTCTTGTTCCTGTCTTGTTCCTGTCTTGTTTCTGGTGGTTCCTGTTCCAGCTTTCCAGCTCCAGTCTCCCATCCATCCCGGGCTAGCAACTGACAGTGACATCCCCATCCCAGTCAAGTCTCAACCCACCCCGTCGAGTTCCCTTCCTGGACCTGGTTCATGTTCCCATCCACACACCCTCCTCTCCCGTCCCGTCGTCGTTGTCTGGCGTCTGTCTGGTCGCTCTCTCTTGTCCTAGTGTCGTAGTGGTAGCAGCAGTGCAGTAGTACCGTTGCCGTGTGCCTTGGTCCATCCCAACCCATCCAGAGAGCCTGGTCCTGCTTCTGGTTGCTTGGTTGCTGCTTCTTGTCCCATCCTGTCCATGTCCACCCCATCCCAGGTATCCCATCCCATCCCGTCACACACACCTCACGCTGCACACCACACACCACACGCCATGGAAAGACCAGAGAGACCGAGAGAGACATGCACACCCAGTTCCCATGCCATATCCATCCTCGCTCACCAGTCGACCACACCTTCATTCAAAAACCTCTAGTCTCCTCTTTCTTCCAACCTCTTCCCTCCCTCTCTCTCTTCTTTCCCCCCTCATCCCCGACCACTACCATCAACGGTCCGACGGTACGGTAGGTTGAGAGAGTTACGGATACCTTTATTCTTAGGTCCATCAGAGAGGTTCAGTTCAGGAATCCCAGGTCCCAGGTCTCCAGGTCCAGCCATTCTCTACAACTTATCGTATTCAACGTGCACCCAACCAACCCTCCACATCTCACACCCACTCCGGACGGACTACACCACCCTACAGTATCCTCCATCGTATCGCATAATACCGTCCCGTCGTCTACAACCGCATCGTAGTCATTCGACGCCGCCCTTTCTGTTGGCCAGTCCACACAGCCAGAGAACCACCAAAATCAAAAACTCGACTCGCGACCCTTCCTTTTTTTTTTTCTCTCTCTATCTTTTTCCCGTTGTTGCACTTTCTGCACGCTACTGCTTTTCCCATCAGGCATTGGGTACAAGAAGAAGACGGACGAGAAAGAAGCAAAGAAGAAAGAAGAGGAATCAGAAGAAGGCTAGACGTTTGGGAAAAGCTGCTTGACGTTTTTCCCCCGTCCCTGCGCCGGCACTAGATAACCACCAAGGCATTGCACTCGTTTCTTCGGGCTCGACTCGGCTCTGCTCTCTGTCATTGCTGCTGCTTGCTGCTACTCCGTCCGGTGCTACTGCTGTACCCTCGGATCCTCTCTCTCGCTACAGTCTCTCGCTGCAATCCCGCACCTGCATCTGCGTCCTGCACCCGCCTCCTTCCCGCTGCTCGGCCACCGAAAAAGCGTAGCTCGAGCGAGAACTAAAGAGTCGTAGCCTCCGAAACGCACCTCGACACCGACGCCGCACTGCAGTCCCGCACCGCACCGCACCGCTTTGCTCCTGCTTCCTGTTTCCTGCTCCGGCACCAAGGATCCAGTCCTCGTCCCGCGCGCTCTTCTCTGCTCTCTCTTTTTCGAGCATTTCGAGAAAGACGCTCCATGCAAAGAAAAAGCGGCTCGCTCCCACCTCCGACCGCCGCCCTCCTTGCACCACCACCCAAGGCCCATCGTGGACCGGCCTCTTTCGCCTCGTCTCTCTTCCCTCCCCCGTAGAGACGCCGCCACGACCACGGCCACGACCTCGATTCTTTGGGAGGAAGAAAAATACGTTTCATGATTTGAGGAGAAAAAGAGGACGAATTTGTTTTCATCCCCCGGGTCATCCAATGTTGCTTGCAACGACACAATAACGAACGGCCAGTCTTTTCGATCCCAGTTGCATCTGCACCCTCCCGAAACCCCGTTGCCGCGAAATCCCACCCTTCGCGCCAAACCACCCGACGCTCGACTCGAGATCGAAGAAGCCTCCCGCTCGCATCCACCCCCCGATCCATACTCGTCGCAACGTCTCGTTCCTCTCCATTGAGTGGCAAGGACTAAAACAGAAATTCATCTGGGAATCTGCCGCAACATTCGTTTTTTGCGGCCTCTTCTTAACGATCGTTCCTCTTTTTTCGTCACGACATATCGAGTATCGCCTTGGACGCAGCACTCACGCCAAATCACCATACACAACACCACTAACACCGATCACTGCCCGCGAAAAAAAATACTCCCACTTCCGGACCGAACACCATCCCACGATCGATCCCGACGACCACTTGCAATCATGGAGTCATCTTCACCATTGGCGGCTATGCACCGTCCCATGGCAGTTCCTTCATGGGGAAACAAGGATCTCTTCCGCCCTCGTCCTAATGCTTTTACCAGCGCCTCTGGTCCCATCAGTCTGCGCGAGCAGCTTCACAGGCCCGACAACTACTTCAACGTTAAGGATGTCCACGGTTCCTCGCCTGCTGCCAGCCTGGCCGCCGACCTTTCTCAGAACTTCCGTTTGGACAGTGAAGCGAGGTATGATGGCATGCATCCAGTCCATCTTGGATAACCGTCGGCTAACAACTTCCCGTTTAGTCCCAAGTTCCCCACGCCTCGTCGCGCCTTGTTCACATCCAACACGATGGGTGATATGGATTCGTACGGTAAGCATCTCTGTGGGTTGTGGCAGAAAAAGGAGGAACGAGGAAGCTGATGTGAAACCAGACTACGTGACTACGCCTCCTCTGCCCGAATCGTCACCTGCGCACGACTTGATGGATGTCTCGCCGTTGCCGCACAAGCTCCCGTTCATGACCCAGATCGCGATAACGTCACCGACCCCGGGATCAACCCCAACCGGCGAGGACGACGAGATGATGTTGGATTCGCCGGCCCCCATTCCTCGGCAGGCGTCGTTGGAGCCACCCAAGCCACTGATAGCCGAGTAAGTTTGATTGCCACATTCCTTCTAGCCCAAGGGGTCGCGTCTAACTCAGGGGGCAGACGGAGAAAGCCAGCTTTGCGCCGGCCTTCCTTGACTCGGATGAAAGGCTACTCGACTAGTGGCGTTCCCGGCCGTTCCAACACAGACACCCAACTCCCCACTTTCCGATTTGGTGAGAATCGCTTGACGCATATGAACAGCGCAATGTCCCTGGGAGAATGCTTCGATGCTACATCACCTCCCCAAGAACGACGACCTCAGACTGCTAATAGCCCTACTCCTGCCGTGCCTGGTGCCGTTCGTCCTCGTCCCCAATTCTCCAGCCTCTCTGGCAACCGCAACAGCCCTTTTGGCAACGGTCACAGCCGTCGCCCTTCAAATCCCTTTATGCGCCCCCGCAAGCAGTTCCGCCGCTCTCTGAGCATGTTCGAGCACCCTGGCGACGTTGTAAAGTCCAAGTCGGAAGGCGGTGACTCCTCTCCTACCACTCCGGAGTCTGTCACCAGCATGGATGCCGATGATGTCCAGGAGCCTATCCTGCCTCACTTCCTCGCCGATGACCCTACCGACACTATTCCCAGAATAACAAAGGCCACCATGATTGATCTCTTGGACGGAAAATACAGTGACAAGTTCGACCAGAAAATGGTCATTGACTGCCGTTTCGAGTACGAGTACGAGGGAGGACACATTGACGGAGCTGTCAACTATAACAGCAAGGACCTGCTCGCCTCCCAACTGATCCAACACCCCATGCAAGGAAGAACTATCCTAATCTTCCATTGCGAATATTCGGCGCACCGCGCCCCCATGATGGCTCGCCATATTCGCTCCGAGGACCGAACTATCAACGCCGAGCACTACCCGCGACTCACATACCCTGACGTGTATATTCTTGAAGGAGGATACAGCGGCTTCTTCGCCGAGCACCGTTGCCGTTGCTATCCCCAAAACTACGTGGAAATGTCGGACGAAGCTCACCAGCGCACCTGCGAACGCGAACTCGGCCGCCTCAAGAACCCCCGCAAGGGTTTCGGCAGAGCGCAAACATTTGCCTTTGGCTCGCGCGACTCTTGCGTGGACCAATCACCCACAGCACCCGCGCGCCCCAGCGGTCTCAGACCCAGCATCAGCTTCCGACAAGATCCCATCGCCATGATTGGCAACTCTCCAATCCTCGGCGAACGATGCCATGCACGACGCATGGCGTCTTACTAGCACATACATTTGCGCCCCTCCCACCCACTGTCCGCTGCCTATGTGGAGGGGTGATCTCCTTGCTTGGCAAGGGGGGAATTCGGGTCTCCACAGACCACGAAGCTGTCTATTGTCATGTCGACTATTGCTCGACATTCCTAATAGGGCGAACCACAGCAGCCTGATTATCGATGTTTCGCGTCTCTTCCTGCACATGTTCACAGCCCTATTCGATTCGACTGCCTATATTCCGCCCTTACCAATCCGGACTACACAGCAGCTTACGCTCACGGCCGCGATGACTTCAATTATTACGCTAATAGAACACTTCGTTATGAGCCTTGTTCTGCAACTTGAACATACAACAAAACCAACAACCCGGCATTAGACGCATTTGGCATATGGTCCCCGCATCGCCTCGTTATGGTTGTTCGGAGTCCACTTTGGATCTGGCATCTTGGGGTGGCTCCCTGTCGGCATTTACAGCATTGTCCTTGGTTTTTCTTTTCCTTTGTCAGACTTCTGCATCCCGCCGAGGAGGATGGTCCCAACACACACACACACGACAAACCGCGTGTCTCCGCAGTTTCGGACGCGGGAGCATTTCAGTATGACGTCTCGGTCTGTCTGCTCTCTGTTGGTATCTCCACATATTGGGAGCATTATTTCGGACCACCCCTCGGCGGACTCTTTTTCCTTTGTGCTCAACTCGGTCCATTGACCATCTTCACCTGATACCACACCTTTCTATCCAACCGCCGGATACCCGACATCCTTGTCATTGGATGGCACCAAAACACACACACACTCACAGACCTCTCGACACCAATTCCCTTTACATTTTTCAAAACAAAAGCCCCACGGACTTTTTCCCCGATGGCTGAGCTTACGGAGGACTACACCTCCTTGTGTATATTGTAGGAGTAGCTGCGACAGACGCATGCAAGAGCGGAGAAGCTATTACAGTGGATGAAAAGCAGTTGCTTGGGAATGCCTTGTAACATTGGCCAATGGGTGAGATGGCACTGCAAGCTTGGAAGCTGGATTGGTGCAATACCGCGTGGGTGAATCCATGCTCTTTCTGTACAGTACTGGCGATGAAAACAAAAATTGCCAACCAAAACAAATGGTCCATGGTCGGATCATTGTGGGCTAGCTCATAACCTCAATTGAATGAAAATACACACAAAACAAAAACACGCTCATCATGGCTTGGACTCGGGAGACACGTGCTCGAGGCGCGGCTCCAAAGGTATGCGCGCGCGCGAGCGCGTTTGTCTGAGCCTCCCGATGAAAACAGCCGTTGAGATCGCACCGGCCCAGCGTCTGTGCAAACTCGAGGTCCCAGCTCCCGTGTTGTTCGTCCAGACTGTGGATAGTGTTTCGAAACTTGACCCCATCCCCAAGTTCCCCCCACGGACGATTAGGACCCCCCGTTTTCTTTCCTTTTTAGACTCGTGTTGAGTCCCTGTGCAAGGGAACCCCAAGTTCGTCCCAGTCTCACGACTCACGTCAGCTTGGACTGTTTTTCTTTGACGCGCCGACGCGAGGTAAACTACGAGAGACGAGTTGGGACCATGACGTTGTTGCGGTCTCTTCCGACTTTACCTCTTCCCTCCCCCTTGGCTAGGTAGCAGACAGCCATAGGACCGGCCAATCCTATTTGTCCAACGAGATTATCCAACAATACTTGGGAAAGAAGCAGGAGAGTTTCTTGGTTGTGTAACGGGGGTTTAAAAAAAAAACAAGCCCCTGGGAACCCGCCCGCGCCTTGCTATTGTTGCTCGGCCCTCCTCCATGTCCCGAAGCTAATTCGAAGTTTTACTTCCTTGGCCCCATACACAAGCCTTCCACGCTAGGATCTCTCTCTCCCTCTTTCTCTCTCTCTCACTCTCTAGACTCTCGCCCTCTACCGAAGCCTATTGTTAGAGTCCTGTTCAGTCCAACTTCTTGAGTGGGGTTGTTTCGGTTTTTCCCTTATCTTTGGTCTATATCTTGTCAAGGAACTGGGGGCATCGCGATGTCTTTTTGTTCTGTGGAATGTTCCAAGGTAGCGTGGTGGTGGCTTTGTTCTCTCCCCTCATCCGCTCCTCTTCTCCCCCCTAACGTCCCGGTTCTTATTCAGGGAAAGACTGATTCATAGATTTGTGGCTGTTTTCGAGGATTGGATAAGCAAGGGGGCAGGGGAGAGCATGCGAGCGAGGTGACACAGGCTCAACGTTCTTTACATCACTGCCGAGAAGTCCATCATCACATTGATTGGTACCATCTTACAGTGAAGAATGGACATGAGGGGGTTCTTGGAGATTTCTTTTTCCTTTTAGGCGGGGTGGTGACGTATGGCTCATTTACGATGAAAGCCAACCCTGGCCCTTTCCTTTGTTTTCTTCTTACACAACACTGACAACTCTCTCGAGAGGAATTCAAAGAGATGAAAAATACTCCAATCTGAACAATTTGAGGGGAAATTTTGCATCCTATCCCATACTCGTGTGGTTGTATGTCCATTTCCGGCCAGTCGGTTTACCTGTCTTTTCATGGCCGGGACTTGTCGCGCATATGGCTCGAGATGCCGAGGAGGAGTCCCCTTGTTCATCACATCCCTCACTCGCTTGACTCGGCAGTTAGAGAAGAATGGAAACCACATGTGCTCCAAGTGAAGGTTAGCGTCAATTCAATGACAGTAAATCAAGAGTTGAATTTAGGGGAGGGGGGACTCACTGGTGGGATGTAGTATGTGTGTGTGTCAGCGCTTTTGTTTGAAGCCATATGGGGAAGAAAGAACTAACAAGCGCTCAACCGCTTCGTTTATTCCAGCTTTTGATCCTCTTTGTCTTTGTTTACTAGTACTTTCTCTCTCCCCCAACGCGAGTCCGACGGAGAGGGGAAGACAAGACTGCCTGACTAACAATAAGAGCCCCCCCGTGCCCAAGGTTTCGACTCGATTCCCAACTAGGAAAGCTCACCGAAGGATGGAAAGAAGAAAGACGTTTAGGCGGAGCTTTTTTTTTTTTTTTTGTGGCTTTGAGCCGCCGTTCCTCCCTTTTCTCCAGGCGGCGGCGGCTCGTCAGTGGCTGCTGGCCCGTCCACATCCCCTTGACCAGATTTGCTCACAAGAGTCAGCCACTCCGTTGCGTGCTCCATTCTTCTTTGACTGAGACAGTCTCAAAAACACCCGGGGGAAAAAAAAAGCCGTAGAGCAGTTTGGGGTACCTAGGCGTGCGTGTGTGGGGTTACGGTGAGAGAAGCCAACACTCTTCTACTAGGGAACTTTGTCGTCGGGTAGCTGGAGCTAGGCAGTCTCGAAGTTATGTGTATCTCACTTTAATGCCGTGATTCTGCAAGGAAGAGGGTACAAAGCGAAGAAGGTGTTCAAGTCCCGGCATTGGTTCAGTCTCGTAGCTTATCCCATCCCACTTTTGGACTTGAGAATGGGTGGAAAGTGGTAAACGGTAGTTAAGGGGGGGGGGGGGGGGGGGGAGGGCCCAAAAAAAAAAAAATTCCCGGGCCCACCCCCCCTTGCAGGATTGTGCTAAAAGGCCTCAGCCCTTTTACCGCGAACACAAAAAAAAAACGGGGGCCCCCCCCGCACCGGAAGAAAGGTTTTTTTTGGGGAGGCCCAAACAAGACAAATTTCCGGTCTCAGTCTCCCTTGCAGGATTGTGCTGAAAAGGCTCACGCACTTATACGCAGACACGAGAACAACAAGGGGGTCCTCCCCTGCACGGCAAGAAGGTCTTGCTTGGCAAGGGAGAAGCTTATTCAGGCGTCGAGAGAAGTTTGTATATTTTTTTCTTTTTCTTTTTGCGCTCCTTCAAGACGAAAGCTCTTACTAAGAGGGACCTGTCTGGCACTAAACGGTTGCTATGTTGCATCGCTGCATCGTTGGCTTCGCTGGGGGAGACTTGAGTGAAATTGGAATCCGTGATGGATCGACGACGACTCGAACCACATGCCATGTAGAAATGAGCAAATGGGGCAGGTTGCAGAGACGGGATATGACTGAGATTCGACGGAAGAAGAATGGTGAAAACGATTCAATGAACTTTTGGAGGCCCATCTGTGAAGGTTGAACTAAGTCTCTATACGATCAAGCAAACTACTAGTAGCTTTTTGTGGTATCCCTAGGTCTAAAGAAGATGAGGGTAGATTTGCCTCTCCCGATATAACGTCGGTCGACTACCCTAGGCAGAGTCAAAAGCCGAATGACAACCTCTCCCCACTACCGACCGGTCTGCTTATGTCGCAAGAATATGCAGGTTACCTGGGTATTCCCAAACGCCGCCCATGCCAAGTGCCATGCCAGATAAATATAATGTAATCATGCCCAAACTTAAAAGACGCCCCCGGTGGCGCCTCAATACGTGTCGTACGGTCACGTCACTGAAGCGCAAAATCCCATTCCTTGAAAGCCTCACGGAGGGCTGCCACATCTCGCTCCTCTTCCTCCTTGGTCTGCGTGCAATCCTGCCAGACGAAACGCTTCTCGAGACCAAGGAGCTTTGCTACGACCTTGCGTGGATACTGCAGGTCGAAGCGCATATTGGGATCGAGCTTCATGACGAGACTAGAGCCCTTAATTCTGTCTTCGCCGTCGTCTGCCCAGATCCAGATCCGGAAGTAGTCGCCAAAGTCGGCCTGGTCCTCATACAAGACCTCGCGACTCTCGAACTCGGGATACTTGAGGTTCTCGGCTTCAACGCGGAAGCCGGCCTCAGCGAGACCCTTGTATACGAAGTCAGCGGGGATGGGGTGGAACTGCCAGTGAGCATGAATATTGCGGCCGCGGCTGATTTCCCAGGTGATGGCGCCGAGCTTGCGGTTCGACTTGGTCGATACCATGGCCTGGAGAGCCTCGCGGAAACGTTCCATCTCCTTGTGCGTTTTCTCCGCCTCCTCGGGAGCATAGTTCTCTACGCCAGAGTGGTGGACGGTAGGTGTATGCGCAAGAGGTGTTATGATGACGTGACCAGGAAAGCCAATACCGTGCTCCTGGAAGGTCTGCGAGGTGGCTAGAGGGCCCTTGGCAGTAGCAAGATAGCTGTCTTCGCCAATGGTGCAGACCATGTGGGTGTCTAGGTTGGGGTTGCTCAAGCAGAAGAAGCATCGGTCCGGGCCGGGAGGAGGTGACTGACGCCGGCGCTTGTTTCCGCGGCGATGATGGCGGCCATCGTCGTCTCCGTTGGCGAAGCGGCTGTAGGAGCCCTCGTCCTGCACACGCCTCTTCGGCTTTCTCTGACTGAACGGCGTGGAGGTAGCATTGGCGGGTTTCTCAACGTTGGTCTCGTTGAGAGTGATTGTGAAAGCATACAGCGCCTTTGCCTTGGACGAGTTTCCGTAGGGAGCCATCGAAATGAAGCGAGTGACGGCTGCATCCTCTGCGCCTTCCTCGAGAGGGTGCACGAAAGGCTCTCGCTCGTAGAAGAACTCGGCGGGCGAGGAAGAGAAGAGGTAACGGGGCTTCAGTGTCGCGCACAGCTCGGCAACCTCACCCGTACTCTCAATTTCCGCTTGATTCTCTGGAGTAAGCGCGACCTTGGATCCTGTCCAGACACCAGCTGGCCAGACCGTCGTAAGCAGGATATCAGCCTTATTCGCACCCTTCAGAGACTTCGCATCATCCGCGGTATGGTAGGGCAGGTGCTGCTCCTTCGATTGACCTCCAACCACTTCCTTGTCGAACTTTCCGCCTAGTGCAACAATCCTGACACCCTCTGAGGTCTTGGTGATGCTGCGCTTGCCGAGGAAGTGGAGGTTCTCGCAGATCTCCTCATCGGCTTCGATCTTGGCAATGATCTTGGGTGGAAGGGGCGCTGTGCCGACGGTAAAGTAAACAGGAAGGGGCACCTTCAGTTCGCCATCTATAAGAGAGTCCACCGTACTGTCGTTGTCGCTGCCGAAGACATTGCCTGTCACGATGGCGAAGCTGAAGCTATTCTTGGCGTGGAGGGTCGCGAGCTTCGTGAAGGCCGGCTTCAACGAGCCATTGAGACTTCCCAGAACGATTCTAAAAGCTGTTACTATTCTGCACATTGGCACATTCAACCTATATGAGTCGGGCGGTACTTACACCTTGGGTGCAGCCATGTCGCCTCTTGAGTTGGTGAAGCTGTGTTGCCGGGGGTGTTGATGGAAGCTTGTAGTTCGAATGGTAAGTTAATTGGAAGATGCGACAGGAAGATGCGCGCAACGATGAAATAATGTGGGCCCTTTTATCCAAGCTCAATCATTGGGTGGTATCCACTATTGATACTGGTTATCAGTTTATCGCAATCGGCCGACCTTCTGCCGGCAGAAAAAAAGTTCAATTTTCCGTATGAGCTCTGGAGAGTTGGCGGGGAACTTTTTTTTGCGATTAAGCAGTGAAAGCTGGGAGGCGATCACGACGGGTTCCTGCACACCACACCTGTCAACCGCCCAACATGCCTTCCACTTCATCCGGGCGGATTACAAAGACCCGAAAGGGCAAATATTCGACTCCTCACCAAAAGAACCACCGGTGGGAGTCCTTCGCAACCAAGATCGCGAAGCTCAATGCGCTCGATCCCCTGCGAAAAGTCCGCCGACACGACCTCGATGCCGAAGACCTCGAATCCACGACATCCTACTTCCGAACCGGCCTGCAGAAATGGTCGGAGTTGAACATCTACAAAGGCTTCTCAGACTTCAAGACGAAAGCCTGGCACATGAGCGAGAGTCTGGCCCAGATTCTGCACTTTGAGGAGAAGATTTTCACGTTATTAGCAGAGGCGCTTGCGAAGCAGGAGAAGGAGGCGTTGGAGCCGCTGCTGGAACTCCTCACAGCATTCGCGCATGACATCGGCACAAGATTCGAAAAGTACTACGCGAAATCTCTAGACCTCATTATCGCTATTGCCGCCAAGCCGCAGGACGCCGACGTTATCGAATGGACCTTTGCAGCGTTGGCTTTCCTGTTCAAATACCTATCAAGGCTAATTGTGCCTAACCTGCGACCAACGTATGATGTCGTAGCGCCGCTGTTGGGAAAGGCCCGCCACCCTCCTCACATTGCTCGTTTCTCCGCTGAAGCTTTGAGTTTTCTCATCAAGAAGGCTGCCGCGCCAGCAAACCGAGAGACCGCTCTCGCCACAATTGTCAGCCACGCAAGAGACGACCTCCGGAGTACCGTCGGCGAACGCTCATTTCAGCTCTACCAAGATGGCCTCATGACCATGTTCGCCGAGGCCATGAAGGGCCCCGGCCAGACCATTCACTCGACCGGCCCGGCCGTATTCGTGTCTCTTATCAAGGCGATACCAGAAACGGAAGCGGATCTCACACAGACTACAACTTGGACCGACTTGGTATGTGGTGTTTTGACTAGCATCATACATCACTCCAACGACAAGGACCTCGCCGACGTCCTTGAGGCGATCCAAGAGCAAGCGAAGGCGGCTTTGAACGAATCCAAGCCAAGCAAGACCTGGAAGTTTGTGCCATTGATCAGGGTTCTTGGGACAGCCGCAGGTGTTCGCCACGGAAATAGAGTCAGCAACTGGCCCGTCCTCGTTGAAAATTTGACCGCCATGTTGGAATCGATGGCACAACACGCCCCTGAGGTGACGGAAGATAAGCTTGATCTTGTATGGAAACATGTCATCGTCAACGCAGCGATTGTCTGGCACCAAGCACCGATTGATGCCCTCATTCCCTCGATCAAGGACTTCATGAATGCTCTACAGAGGGAGAGGCTCATGAGGTGGTACATCCCATTCTGTGCCTACTTCTCCAATCTGGACTCGACACGGTTCCGGAGTATATTCCAGACGTATTTCCAAAGGTTTGCGCCATCCATTTTCTGTGAGGTATCAGGGAGCTAACCAAATCTAGATTCATCGTCAGCCACTGGTCCGATGGCCAGAACGAAGATATGCTGTGTGTATTCCTGCCCCGCATGGTACAGAACGGAAGTCTTCCTTCGCCAGGAGCAAAGGAGACATGCAATCTCCCGCGTAGCTGGCAAGACCAGATCGTGTCAAAGTTTGAGCGCCTCGAAAGCACACCTTTCCCGGAGCGCGGAGCGTATGACAAGGACCCCCAAACATGGAGAGATAGATGCTTGCCAAAGTACTCGGCCTTGTTGGATCTCCTTTTCTCGACTACTGTTCACCCTTCGGCCAACGCGAAGATCGCGGAACTCCTACTACGAAAGTTGAGGCTGGCGCTCAAGCCTTCCACCACACTGGCGTCGGACGAGGTTCATTTCAGCATCAGCCAAGGCTTCCATGCGTATTTACGAATGAGCAAAGCTGCGGGTCCGGTTGATCCAGCCTTAGACCCGCTCCTCCGCGCTGCTCTTCCCAGATTCAGCCGCTCGGTTGGCTTCTTGGACGCCTACCTCACCTATACTGAGCTTACACGAAACCAACCGTCGTCTGTCGACCGCCAGAGCAATGATAGCAGTGAGAGCTCAGAAGAAGATCCGGTTGTCGAGGCTCTTATTGAGAACCTGTCTGCCCCTTCGCATGAGCTCCGTCTTGCATCTCTGAAAATTCTTCAGCAATTCGAGTCACTTCCCGATGAACACCAAAGCCTTACCCTCATGCTGGACATCGAGCACACGGCTCTGGAGCTTGCTAGCCTGAGAAACGTCGCGATGCATCTTCGCAAACTCGGCCAAAATTACTCACAATTGAGCGAGAAATCTTGGCTTCTCAAGGCAATCCCATCTTTCATGTTCGGCATGTTGACTGTCAAGCTTTCGCCATTATGGGATGATACCATCACAGCCTTGAAGCTGGTCGGCGCAACCAAGACTGGCGAAGAGGCTATTACAATGACTGCTTTCAGTTGGCTGGAGACTCCATCTCCGAGATGGTCTGGGCCAGTCAGCCAGCCCTCACTCCAGGGTCGGCAAGCGATCACCGACTTTGATTGCCGGCATGTGCAAAAGCTCTGGAGCATGGCGGATGAGGTGGAGCAGGTGGTCAACAACGCCATCGATCTCATGCTCCAGTCATTTGACAAGCAGCAAGAGACTGTCGATGCTCACGCTGGAAATGCCCGGGCACAGGCACTTAAGGTGCTCACTGCAATGCCTCACTTCGCTGAGAAACGTTCTCGCAAACTTGTACCCTTTTTCCTGGCCTGGGCTGCCGTTGACGAAGACAACTCGTCCGAGAGCCAGGAGGACGAGGACGTTGAGATTAAGGGCGAAGACTGGTCTCTCCAAGATCGCAAAGGTCTAGTTGGTGTTTTCGCTCTCTTCATCAATCCGAAGGTGCTCTATCAGCACGAAAGGGTATACACTGCACTACTTCACCTCATGGAGAATGGTGACGTAGAGGTGCAAAAACTAGCGCTAAAGGCTATTCTCGCCTGGAAGCAAGAGGGTGTTCGACCTTACCAGGAGAACTTGGAGTATCTCCTCGATGAGGCTAGATTCAAGAACGAAGTCACCGTCTTCCTCCAGGGCGAATCGACGATCCGCCCCGAACACCGCGCAGAGCTTATGCCTGTTCTGCTGCGATTGCTGTACGGACGGACTATTTCCAAAAAGGGTATTTCTAGCGGTCGACATGGTCTGCAAGCCACTCGTTTGACCGTCCTGAGAAACCTCAGCGTTGAAGATACGGGTAGCTTCTTGGATATCGCGATTGGTAGTCTCAAAGGAGCGCGCGTTATCGACGAATCCGGTCTCCGCACTAACTTGTTTGATCGTGAGATTCTTCCTCCTCGCAAGCAAACTGGTTTCATGAACATGATGCTGCCTCTCATCAATGAACTCGGCCAGCATGTTGACCCTTTCGTCGAGAGACTCCTTCATCCCGTCCTTTACTGTCTCATCTTTGCCTGCCGCCGGCTTCAGGAATCTACTACCGCTGAATCGGACGAAGAGGTTGAGGAAACAAACGAGGCTTCTCAAGAGTCTCTGCTCAAGACTATCAGGACCGTGGGTGTCAAGTGTCTTATCACACTGTTCCGCAATGCGCAAGACTTCAACTGGACGCCCTTCTCTGAACCCATTGTCAACGAGGTCATTGCTCCCAGGATTGAGAAGCTGCCTGTCGAGACTGCTCAGTCGGTCTCAAGCATCATGCAGCTTCTGTCGACGTGGTCTCAGCTGCCCAAGGCAGCACTCTTTATCTCAATTAACGACCAGATCTTGCCCAAGGTCATCGAGTGCGTGTCGGTGCCAAAGGCGAAGGAAAACGTCAAGATTTTCGCCCTGAGCATCATTCGAAATCTCATCAAGTTGGCGCAGGCACCTGCTGTGGAATCCGAGTTCAATGAGCTCATCCGCACTGAGCTTCTGGATGCCAACTTGGAGTTGATGCTAAAGACTGTCACTACGACGCTGGAGACACAAACCATGAGCAATGAGCTGCTCGAGTCTTGTATCGAAACCATTGTAGAGCTCTCTCCTCTTGTTGAGACCTCCGCGAATGTGCGTGAGACGCTCAAAATTGCCACTTTCCTCCTCAACCAGCCGCCGAGACGAGTCAACCCCAGAGCCAAGGGCAAGATCCTCCTCATTCTGGAGCGGTTCATCACTATACTTAGCTCCGAGGAAGCGGAAGAGAAGACTGCTGATATTGCCATTTTCGAAACCCTGTCTTCGCTCTTCAGTTACTTCAAAGACAGAGACAACAGGCAGGCCTTGGCCCGAGTTCTCACAGTTCTGGCCGAGAAGGATATCACTCTCAAGGAGGTTGCCGAAATATGCCGCGATCTTAATGCCTTTGCACCGAGCCGCATTGACGAGCCAGACTATGACAAGCGACTTGCTGCATTCAATCGGATCACAAATAAGGAAATTGCCTTCACTGTCAAGCAGTGGCTTCCTCTGTTGCACAACTTGATTTACTACATCCGCTCAGACGAGGAGTATGGCATCCTGGCATCGAACTCTGCAGACTGCTTGCGCAAGTTCATTAGAGAGGTAGCCGCCTGCTCGGAAGAGACCTCGAAAAGCGGTTTTGAATCCCACTTAAAGACTATCCTGTTGCCCTCAATCTATACTGGGGCTCGTGAGGAGTCTGCCACCGTCAGAAGAGAGTACCTGAGAGTCTTCGGCTACCTCCTGTCGCAGATGCCGACATGGGAGCTTGTCGCGGATATGAAGGGGCTTTTGGTCAGTGATATGGCAGAAGAGACGTCAGAGTTGCCCTTCTTCTTCAACATCCTCAGTCCTGCGACTGCACGCCAGCTAGAAGCGATCAAATTGCTAAACTCTGTCAACGATACCTCAGAGTTTGGCAGTCAGAACCTGAGCCAGTTCTTCATCCCTCTTCTCGAGCACTTCATCTTCGGTCGCACTGAAGGGAGCGACGATCAGGGCTTGGGTGCCGAGGCAACTAACGCGATCGGTAGCTTGGCTCAATCTTTGGACTGGAAGCATTATCGTGTTATCCTGCAAAGATACATCAGCTACGTCGAGTCCAAGCCCAATAATCAGAAGCAGGTGATTCGACTACTTGCCAAGTTCTGCGATGCCCTCATCGTATCAGTTGAAGAGAAGGGTGCCGAGGCGATGCAGATTGACGATTCAGAGACTTCCACACCTACTAGCAAGAGACTTGTACTCACGACTCCCGCCCAAGAAAAGCTCAGCAAGGATGTCAATAACCTCTTCCTTCCCCCACTGATCAAGCACCTACACGAAAAGGATGAGTCCGAGGTCAGCTACCGTGTACCAGTCGGTGTCATCATCGTCAAGCTTCTCAAGCTTCTGCCGTCCGAAGAAATGGGTCAGAAGCTTGCTGGTGTTCTGACCGACATTTGCCACATCCTGCGCAGTAAGTCTTGGGATGCTCGTGAGATGGCAAGAGACACTCTTGTGCAAATCGCTTCGGTCCTTGGCCCGACTTACTTTGGGTTCATTTTGAAGGAATTGCGTGGCGCTCTCAAGCGAGGTTACCAACTTCACGTCATGTCCTATACCCTCCACTCGATGCTCCTCAAGGTCATTCCTCAGTTCCAGCAGGGTGATCTCGACTACACTCTCCGGTCCATCGTGGCAATCGTTATAGACGACATCTTTGGCGCTACCGGTCAAGAAAAGGATGCAGAGGGTTACATCAGCGAGATGAAGGAAGTCAAGGCAAGCAAGAGCCAGGATTCCATGGAGCTCATTGCCAAGTCGGCCTCAATCAGCCAGCTGGTTGTCCTAGTCCACCCCCTGCAGTCTCTCCTTATGGAAAAGGTGGATCTCAAGTTGGTTCGCAAAATCGACACGCTGTTGGCAAGAATCACCGCCGGTCTCATGCAGAATCCAGCCGCAGAGAGCCGCGATACTCTCATCTTCTGCTACGAGGTCATCCAAGAAGTATACAAGAGCAAGAAGCCAGAGGTGCAACCAAAGATCGACTTCCGCCTGAAGAAGTATCTCTACCAGAAGGGAGTAAAGAAGGACAACTCAGGTACCGCTGGTAAATACACCTTCAAACTCGTCAAGTTCACCTTTGATATTCTACGGTCGGTATGGAAGAAGTACGAGAGCTTGCGCACTGGCGCCAATATTGCTGGCTTTGTGCCCATCCTAGGAGACGCCATCGTCGGCGAGGAGGACGACGTTAAGGTTGCGGCCTTCAAACTTCTCACCGTACTTGTCAAGGTGCCTTTCAGCAACAACGAGGATGTTCAGCTTTACAAAGTTGCAGTCAAGGAGGCGACGAAGAGCATCTCGATGTCAACCTCGACCACAACCGATCTTTCACAGGCGGCTCTGAAGTTGCTTTCGGTCGTCCTCCGCGAGCGCAGGGACATCCCCGTCAAGGACGCAGCTATAGATATGCTCCTCGGTAAGCTCAAGGACGACCTGACGGAGACGCTCTACCGTCACGTCACCTTCAACTTTGTGCGCTCTGTTCTTGAGCGCAAGATCGAGACGGCTGTTGTCTACGATACCCTGGACTACGTCGGCACTGTTATGATCACAAACGATGACAAGGATACTCGTGATCTGGCGAGAGGCGCATTCTTCCAATTCCTCAAGGATTACCCGCAGAGAAAGGCCCGGTGGGTGAAGCAGCTCAACTTCGTTGTCGCGAACCTGACTTACGCTCGTGAGGGCGGCCGCTTGTCTGTCATGGAGGTGGTTCATCTACTTCTCATGAAGTCTGCGGATGACTTCGTGCAGGAAGTTATCTCCACTTGCTTCTTGCCCCTTGTCATGGTGCTTGCCAACGACGACAGTGAGAAGTGCTGTTTGGCTGCTGGGGAATTGATCAAGGAGATGTTCCGCAAGGCTGATAAGGAAAGGACACAGAGCTTCATGACGCTGCTTCGATCATGGGTCGAGCAAGAGGATAACCTTGCGGTGAAAAAGCTGTCGCTGCAAGCTTTCGGGTTCTTCTTCGAGGCCAAGGAACCCACGACCAAGCACAAGAAACAGCTGGAGCTGGTTGTTGGCAAGATCGGGGAGATTGTTGGAACAGGTGATATCCGCGTTGCCGATGAAGACCTTGTCAACACTGTCCTCCGCGACCTTCAGGTTCTGACAGAGAAGTATCCAGCAAGGCTCCTGGCTGCCGAATCTAAGGAACTCTGGGGAGACGTTCGTGGCTGCCTGGTTCACCCTGAGAACTCAGTTAAACTCAGTGCTACTAAGGTGTTGAGCGCATTTCTCGCGGACTACGCCGGCAAGTCAAGCAAAGCAGGAGAAATGCTGCAAGGATCCCATGGCCTAAATCTCGAGCTCGAGGACCTGGAGGAGCTCGTCAGATTGACGCTCTACGCTTTGCGAACACCAGAGATCGACGACGCGCTTGCCGAGGAGATCAAGCAGATCTTGATCTTCCTTGGCCCCCGTCTACCCGTCAAGGTGCAAACCGTGCCTGAAGCGGATACTCTGGGCGACCGCGACGAAGCTGAGGCAGAAGAAGACAGAATCGACGAGCATCGCAAGGACCTGCAGTACCTGTTCTGGAAGCTCTCGTCGATCCTGCGCAAGGACGTCCGACCGAAGTCGACCGCCATCACACCCAAGACAGTCGCGATGGAAGTTTTGGAGACGATTTGCCGTCGGGTTCCCCAGGAACATCTCGAGCCCTCGTTCAAGACTGTCCTCTACCCCTTGCAGAACCTCACAGATCCCAATATCCCCGTTCCCTATTCAACAGACGAACTCTTCAAGACCAGACTCGAAGCACTCAAGACTAGAGCGCAGATCCTCATGGACTCGCTCCAAAAGAAGTTTGGCACTGCCGATTACACAAAGCAATTGCTGTCCATCAGGGAGGAGGTGCGAACCAGGAGACAGCAGAGGTCGAGCAAGCGCAAGATCGAAGCGATTGCGCAGCCGGAGAAGTACGGCCGGGACAAGAGAAAGAAGACGGAGAAGAAGAAGGAGAGGAAGAAGGTCAGAGGCCAAGAGCACAAGCAACTCAGACAGGCGTACAAGGGGTGGTAATCATCGTCAAGTTTGCATGGGCTGGCGTTTTCGGATGAAAAAAGAGAAAGGGCATCAAGGGGTTTTAAAAGGGTGTATTTTTATAGTACAGGGGCTGACATTGCCCGTTCATATGTGAGATCTATCTTGTTTTTACAATGTGTCCCGTCTTTTCTTATCCCATGAGTGTCGATGGGTATCCGCAACGCCTTTATATGCAATTATTCCATCCGCCGACAAGCTGAGGCCACCGATTGCCCCCAATATGTCTGCAACAAGTGTCGTACATTTTTTACAGTCATTTCTGAGAGCCTCAAGCAGATTCATCCTTTTTCAGCTCCGCAGCTTGAGCCTCGGCGTCGGCATTGCTCTCGTCCGGGTAAAACTCGATGTCACCGTCCTCGCCCAGTGTGCCCCTCTTGACCAGCCTGCCCTTCTCGCGCATCAAGTCCTCAACAGTTACTTTGCGGTCGCCAAAGATGCCCAGGTGATCGCTGATGATGTGACGGTTTCGGCACGAAGGACAGGTTATGAGGACAGAGCCGTGGTGGTATCCTTGCTTAGAGACCTTGTGCCTGGAACGGGTGTCGCACGGGACGCAGGTGAAGTCGAGCTGGTAGTGCGGCGAGGTCTCCATGCGCATCTGGGCGGGAGTCTTTGCCTCGGCCTCGCGCACTGCTTTCGGCTTCGGTACGGTGTGGGCGAAGCGCGCGGCGGTTGTGGGTTGCAGAGATGGTTGTTGCACTTGTTGTTGTCGGGTCTGGAGGGCTTGGAGGATGGGGCTGCCGCGCTTGAAGGGCGAGGCACCGGGGCGAGCTTGCCGCAACAAGGGCGCGAATTTTGTGAGCGCTGAGCGAGAGGCCATTGTATTGTTCGTCTGCGATTTCGAAGGAAGTGGTGGTGGCTTTGATTTGGGTGTAAGGCTTGAAACTTAAACTCCGGTGAAGAAATTTGGTTGAGAGAGCTAGAGCTTGACTGGCCTGTTCTCAAGGTGGACTGGGAATGCCGTCATTTTTCTGGAGAGTCACTGCTGCTCCTCATTTTTTTTTTTTTTTCGGAATGAGAAAATGATGGAAACGAACGCCACATGTGGCGGGGACGTTTACCCACTTCCAAACGAGCGAATCAGGACCTTGGAGGCCCACCACTCCCGGTTGATTCGTTTGTGAAATGTAGGGATTAAGGATTAAATTGATTGGATCCAGCAGCCCGGTCGCACCTTCCGCCTCGCGTGTGGAAAGCGCGGATCATTCCGGCCTCGGGGCTCCACAGCCTTGCCCTGCCGTAGCTTCTCTGAACTTGCGACTTACATACCGAGCCTGTCTTCTGCCTCTGCGATGCCTCGTAATAAATTCCACCATTTATGCCGCAGAAATCAGAGCCCTTTGCGCGGCCACCTTCTTCTTCGCTAGCCAGGCTATTTTTGTGTCCCTCCACTGCTTTTCATAGCTCTTTGCTTCCAATATTAGGAAGCATTGTAGCCTGGCTCCCCATTTCTTGGGATCATTCAGTTCCCCGGCACACTTTCTGAGGAGAGCTACCCCGCCGCCCCCGACTCAGGCTTCCCACGATAGCTTTCTCGACCTGAAACGTCCACCCACCACGACCAAATTTCGCAGCGATAGTTCGGATACGATTTGAAAATAGACAAAGATATACCCACGATGATTTCTGGTAGAGGTGGAGGCGGTACGGCCATGCGGGCCGGGCGCATTCGGCCCCCGCGTCGCCCTGGACGAGTAAGTCCCCCCGACTCTAGCGGTCATCCACTGCTGTTGGCTACAATGTCTATCCGTTGTGTCCTGTACCTTTCAAGACGACGGCCTCAGAGCCGTATTGAATGCTTCGTTCTGTCCTCACTTGCATCACTTTCTGCCTTGTTTCTGTTCGCACGTAACGATATCGTACATTCTGTTCATGATCCACTTGATTGCCGGCCGTTCACTGGGAGTTTGTGGGTGAACATCGCCGTTCATTGGTGAGAAATATTCATAATACGAACTAACAGGTCAAAAGCTTACATCCGGTATCGATACGAGCGATTTCGAGCAGTGCTGGGAGACACTGAAGCAAGCCCTGACCGATATCCACAACCAAAACTGCAGCACGCTCTCATTCGAACAGCTTTACCGAGCTTCCTATAAGATAGTGTTGAAAAAGAAGGGCGAGATGCTCTACGATCGTGTCAAGCAGTTCGAAGAGCAGTACTTCTCCGAGCACGTCATCCCTGACATCGAAAAGCTGGTTACGGCCAACCTCATCAGCGCCGCAATGGGTGGTGCGGCTACCTCGGTCAACGAACGACGCAAGATGGGCGAGCACTTTCTTGGCGGTGTCAGAAATTCATGGGATCATCACAACACGTCAATGAATATGACAGCCGATATCTTGATGTACCTCGACCGAGGCTACACCCAGGATGCTCGTCGGCCGTCCATCTACACCGCCACAATTGGTCTATTCCGCGATCATATTCTGAGGGCGTCACTCAACTCAGGGGGGCAATATACTGTTTTTGACATACTCAACTCGGTCATCCTCGACCACGTCAACATGGAGCGCGATGGTGATACTATTGATCGTCACTTGCTGCGGAATATCATGCGGATGTTGGATTCTCTGTACGAGACAGATGAGGAACAAGAGGCAGAGAAGCTGTACTTGACAGTATTCGAGCCCGCTTACCTGGAATCTGAACGAGTGTACTACAAGCGCGAGTGTGAACGTTTGCTCCGGGATGCTGACGCTAGCGTTTGGCTGCGGCACACTCAACGCCGACTTCAAGAGGAATTCGACCGATGCGACACTACTATCCATTATGAGACGAGAGAGAGGTCCATCAAAGTCGTTGAGGAGGAGCTGATATCGGCACACCTAGACGACTTTCTCAACCTTGAGGGAAGCGGGCTCAAGTCAATGGTCAACTACGATCGTGAGGAGGAGCTATCCATTCTCTACCAGCTGGTATCACGAGTTGATCCTAAAAAGGCGTCTTTAAAGAAGATTTTGTCCGCTCGGGTGGTCGAGCTCGGTCTCGAGATTGAGCAGATGCTCAAGGAAACGAACTTTTCTGCAGCGTCTGCGCCGGCGGACGGGGAAGATAATGACGGCGGGGAGAAGGCCAAGACGCTGAGCTCATCGGCTCAGCAGACGGCTGCGGCGATCAAGTGGGTTGACGACGTGCTCAAGCTCAAGGACAAATTCGACAACTTGTGGACAAAGTGCTTCCGAGAGGATTTAATCATCCAAACCTCGCTTACAAAGAGCTTTTCCGATTTCATCAACATGTTTACCAAGAGCTCCGAGTACGTATCGCTCTTCATTGACGACAATCTTCGACGCGGAATTCGTGGTAAGACTGAGACGGAAACCGAGGCGGTGCTGGAGAAGGCCATTACCGTGATCCGGTACCTGTCAGACAAGGATCTGTTTGAGCGTTACTACCAGAAGCACCTGGCTAAGCGTCTACTCAACAACAAGTCGGAAAGTCATGATGTTGAAAAGTCGATGATCTCTCGAATGAAACAGGAGCTGGGCAACCAGTTTACGGCCAAGTTCGAGGGCATGTTCAGAGATATGGAGTCGTCTGCCGAGCTGACTTCAGGCTACCGGGACCATATCAGGGGACTGGGCGACGTGTCACGGAAGCAGATTGAGCTGGGTGTCAACATCTTGACTACCAACTCGTGGCCCCCAGAAATCATGGGTCGCACGTCACAATTTTCTGAAGGCGGTGGCTGCATCTTCCCTGAGGAGATTAAGCGACTTCAGGAAAGCTTACTCAAATACTACCTCACCAACCGTAGCGGCCGCAAGCTGACTTGGCTTGGGTCGACGGGTAGCGCCGATATTCGCTGTACCTTCCCCGCCGTTCCAGGCGGCAAGGGACCCCTAGCCCGCGAGCGCAAGTACGAGATTAACGTGCCGACGTACGGCATGGTTGTGCTTTTACTTTTCAACGAACTCGAGGAGGGCGAGGAGCTTTCGCTTGAGGAAATCCAAGCCAAGACCAACATCCCAATGCAGGATCTTGCGAGAACTCTGACTTCTTTGTCTATAGTCCCTAAGGCCAGAGTACTCGCCAAGGAACCCGCTTCCAAGGGCATCAAACCCGGCGACAAGTTCAAGTTCAACGCCTCTTTTGTTAGCAAGACGGTCCGCATCAAGGCGCCCATTATCAATGCTACAAGCAAGGTCGAGGGCGACGACGAACGGAAGGCAACTGAAGAGAAGAACAACCAGACTCGAGCCCACGTCATTGATGCCGCGCTCGTCCGCATCATGAAGTACGTATCCCGAAAGTTGGCATTTTGTCTCTTGACTGTACTAACCTAATCACAGGCAACGCAAGGAGCTTGGCCACTCGCAGCTCATCACAGAGGTCATTGACCAGCTGAGCAGTCGCTTTAAACCCGAGATCAGCCTCATCAAGAAGCGCATCGAGGATTTAATTGTGCGCGAGTACCTTGAGCGTGTAGAGGATGCGTCAACGCCGACGTATCGCTACCTCGCTTAAGAAGTAGAAACCCCCCCAACGGCCCGCCTTCGATGTGGCGAAAAACGATGGACACGATTCTCATGATAAGTTAGAGGGGCATTCATGGCTGCATTGGGGAGGTTTCTTAGGGAATTTCAAAAACTAGGCATGGCGTTCTCAAGGTGGATTGCTTGAGCAAAATGCGCATTATTTCATCAAGAACATAGGGACGGGGAAGGAGGATCTCTGAATGGCGGTTGTGGGTCACCCGGCATTTATTTCGGCCTTGGGGTGGTTCAGATGAATACGACTTTCAGATCATTGATAGTCGTTCATCATATAAGGGGATGTGATTTGTGATTGACTGTAAATACTTTGCTTCTTTCGCATGTACAGAATTCTAGGGCTAGGGATATCCATGGTCACGATATGGCTCGCCTGGTCTTTGCCAGTGGATTGACTATACACAACTTGGCAAACTCTGTGAGTTTCTCGACGTGATCCCCCATTCTAGTAGCCCATGGTCGTGATGTAGACTCGGGAGTACCCGATGGGATATAGCAGGCATTGTCTATATTTCCTTTGAACATGGAAACCCAACGTTCCAGTCCTTTCTTTGGTCGACTTCCGCCCGCGACATTTCTAATCATGATGGTCCAACGCGCCCCGGGAGGGGGGGGAAAAAAATGAAGGCAATGCTCATGCTCTCTCTCTCCTCTGCTCTTGCGTCCCGTCTCTCCAACTACATTTCTCCAAAAGACCGGAAGGGACCAACACTTCTTTTTTTTTCTTTCGTCGCAAGGTTTTGTATTGTCGTCCTTTCTGATCACGCGCATGCCAAGCACCCACCCACCAATACACACACGTCCGGCCTCTCCCCAAAATCCTGTCAACTACCTTCGTGCGCGGGAGACATTGTTGTCAGTCCTCTGCTCGTGTTCTAGCTATATCACGCCGGACGGGTGTTTGTCAGAAAGTTGCTTTCTTTGATTATATATCACTATCGCAATGAACAATTAAAATAAGAGAAAAAAAGGGAAAAAAAAGAGGACGACGTTGGCTCTTCAACTTGAGAGTCTGAATTCTTTTGGGTTGCGCTGCGAACGTCGTCTCACGAACAAGGGGGATGAACCCCCCCTTCGGTTGGAGGGGATCGAACGATCGGCGCCCTGGTAGGTCGAGCCCATTGCATCAGCAGCAGCAGCAGCAGTAACAGCAGCAGTTACAGCAACAGCAACAGCATTAGTCAGATGGAGGGTCGCGACTCGCAAGGGACCCCGGAAAAACCACCTCCAACCCTTCCCCCCCCATAAAAAAGTTGGAACTGAAGGAAGCAGGAGGGGGATCCGGATCATGCATGGGATGGCATGGCATGGCAATGCCGTTCAAAGGCCGCAGGACAGGCAGGCATTATTATCTTCCCAAAGCTGCAGCTGTTATGCCTTTGCCAATCATGGCGAAGCGAGAGCAATATGCGGCAAGATGGAGAAACCCCGTGGAATTACAAGAGGTCCCAGATTTCAGAGGCTGAGTTGCTGCTGCTGCTGCTGCTGAGCACCACACACACACACACACTCACAAACTCGCACACTCACCCACATGCGGCATGCAGAAACTGAACCTAACCGTTCCAGCCGAACGCCCGTACTGTGTACTTTTCGTACATCAGACCACTCACCACCCCCGTTCCACCCAAGGCCCCTTTTGTTGGCCCCGTCTATTCTGCTCGTCAGTTTCCTGTCTTCCCGGTGATTTGGATTGAGCCTTGCGAACAATGAGGAAAGCTATTAGAGTAAGAGAGAAGGAGAAGGAGAGAGTTTACAGCGGATGAAAAGATTTGTAAGTGTATGAGATAAATAGAGAAAGAAAATAACGTTGGCGGTGTCTCCGGGAAACTTTTGGCGCGCATATCTCGAGCAAGTTTGTAGTGGAGTTTGCGGGATTCCGGGGCCATCGGAGCGTTGACCAGCTTGCGATCGGCGCCGAACTCAACTCAACCGGGGGGGGCCCACGTTGGCTTTTGTTTCACCAGACGAGCAACTCAGCGAAAACGAGGCCATGAGACGAGACGAGATGAACGGCGGGGTCATCTCGTCAGAAATTTTTGGGAATAACGAAGAATCATCTGGTTCTACGGGTGTTATTGCCTGCGCTTGCTGCTTGGGAAATATCGAGGATGGTGAGGTGTCCCCCCCCCCAAAAAAAAAAACCAAACAAACCCCAAAAAAAACCACAAGTCTCCCTCCCCTTACCCCCGATGATACATTAGTAGGGTTTACTCTGCAGTTTAGTAACCCAGGAAGAAGGCGGGAAAAGGAAAATCTCACTCTTGTCATCATTCCTTACAGATTGCCAGCATAGCATGAATATGGGGAAAAGACCGCCAGAGTCGTCCACCTAGATAGACGGGGCAAACTTTCCAAGATGGGGGAGTAAGCAACCGAAGGATTTCCGAGTCACCCGCTGTCAGACAACAAGCCCGAACAGACCAAGAGGCTAGAAAGTGCAAACCAAACCGAAGAAACGGGCAGACTCCCGCAATCCTTAGATTATCGCATTCCAATCTTGGTGCTTCACGCCGTTTCTCCAATCCAATGGAGTGCGAACAGGCCAAATCAAACTAGGCCTCGAATTGAAAAACAAATGGAAAAGAACGAAAAAGAACGCCACTCCTCCTCCATCCCAGGAAGTTAAGCTTTTTGATGCGATGAAAAACTCCAAATTTGAATAGCCCGAAAACCCCTTGGCGTGGCGACGCAATGTAGCTAGCGATGATGAAGGCGATGCGATGAACGATCCGTCGAGACGTGAAAAAGGATATTGGCGCCGCGTCGTACCTTCACGACATATTATGCTGCTTCTCGCGAAACTCACGCCGTATCTCTTCCACCTTGGACCCATCCCGCGGACACGACCACCCGTTCTCCTCGATCTTGACCCTGTCGAGACATTTGGAACATCGCCACCATTTGGGATAGATCTTGCGCTCATGCAGCCACGTGACCGTCATCTCAAACGTCTTTGCGCTCACGTCTTCCTTATGGACGTCGGTGAGATGGATGCGCAATCGGTCCTTGCGGTTAAACGGTTCGTTCTTGCGGTTGCAGGCCGGGTAGTCGCAGAGGAAGATGCCGTTGCTGCCGTCCCTGTTGCTGGTGCTATTATTGCCCGCACCATTCACGCTGTTGTTCCTGTTTCCTTGCCCCGATGGCCCCATTGCCCCCGTTGCCCCCGTCCCCGTCCCTGTCGTCCCCGTCCCTCCTCCGCCTGCGGCCTTGGCCTTGGCCTTGCTACTGCCCGCCGGCGGTTTTTTCGTCGTTATTTTGGGGCTTGGGTTGCTAGTGCTTGTCGCGGGTGTGATATCTTTTAGGGAGAGGGCGGGCGAGGGTGCCGTGGTCTGGCTGTCGGCGTGGGCCAGTTTGTAATGCCGGTCGAGGTCACCTTTGCGCTTGAACGGCTTGGAGGGACACGCCGCCGATAGACAGGTCCATTCGATATCCTGCGGTGTCTGTATGGGCGACTTGCTCGTCGCGATGCGCGGCACTACGTTGGGGAGCTCCTCCGAGGGCGTGTGTTGTTGTTGCAATTGCCAGAACCCGCCGTCGTCGGTACCGACGTAGTTGTACTTTGAGCAGTCAAAGTCGGGATACAGAAGCTCGAGCCTTTTTGATTTGGGGACGAGAAAGAGTCAGCATTGGAGAAAGGGAAGACTTGCGCAGATTTTTAATTGTTGGGTGCAAAGGCAGGGGGAGCGTTTCTGGATGCTCTCCGGTCGAGGTAGAAGCAAAATTGATGATAGATGTGTTGCTGTCGATTTAAGACTTACCACGGCTCGATACTAGGCAAGTTCGCGCTGCCTTTGCTCATGGCGGCGTGCGGTCGTTTTACGGCTGTCGGAGGGGCCATGATGAATGTGTTTTCTTGCTCAGGAAGGTAAATCAGCGTTCTGTCTTCTCTCTCTCTTTCTCTATTCCCCAGATTGCGAATCTGTCTTCTCTTCTCCTCTCGTCGCGCCTCGTATCGCCCATTTCCCATGTTTCGTGGCGCTACAATCGATCCAAATCGTCGGCAATCGAAACAATGCGAATAAAAAGGCGAAAATCAAAAGCAATCAATGAAACCCCGTGAACGCAAGAAAAAGGGACAGGACAAACCTTCAGGCTTGGCCAGCGACATCATAGCCGCAAGTGCGCGGCGAGGGGTTAGATACGAAATCGGTACGGCGAAAGAGAGAGAGAGAGAGCGCGCAAGAGAGAGCGCAATCGTCGTCCGTGTCAAGTGAGACTCAGGCGGATCACGGAGCCGTCACGGGAGAAGGGGCGAATGAGCAGGAGGGCTGGGGTGATTTGACGTTTTTGAAGGAGGAAAGAAGTTGGCCGTAGGGATCTTTTCATACCGGGCCTCCAAACCCCCGACGGGAAAGAATGAGGGCAGTGAGTTTGCGAACAGGACGGAAGGTCTTTAATGCTCGGCTGTTTGTTCGTTCCTTACTCTTGGGACCAGGAGATGAATATTGCTTTTCTTCTCCCCTCCCACCTCTGTCCGAGGGCAACCAACCAGCCCAGAGCCGGGCGAACCAACCAACCAAGGAACCAACTACCTACCTACAACGGTCAAAAGAGAATGAGAGAGAAAGAGCAAGAGAGGCAAAGCGGGAGCACCAGTAGCAGCGGTAGCAGCAGCAGCAGCAGGAGCATGAGGATCAATCGGGCCAATTCCAAGGGACCGAGAGACTAGGTTGAGCAAGGTCCCAGGTTGGTTCAGGTACGGCGGCCGTTCGTACGGCACAGGAAAGTACTTTCGCTTATGGGGAGTGGTGACTGTGACTGCAAGATTGCTTTGGAGGTGCGTTAAGAAAAGGTACCAAATCTATTCTGGTTATGCGTAATAATGAGCAGCCAAAGGTAGGGGAATGTAGCAGGACCATCGACATCAGGAGCAACAGCAGCAGCTCATGCGACAGCGATTCAACTGCCACAAGAGGACATGATACGTATCCCGCGCGTAGCAACACATCTGGTGAGGGTGGCGGGGTTCGACGCTGTTTGCCCAATCCCGGGGAGAACAGCTGGCCCATTTCGTTCTCGAGCAGGAGGGGGGGAGTGTCTCTTGTCCTTGGGAGGGGGGGTGGTAAAGGGGGGTGTCAGGATGTCTAGGTTTGGCTCCCAGCTTCCTGCACCAAGTGACTTGGCGGGAGTGAGGGATGAGATGTGATGGAACCACGGCGGCGACCACGGCGGCGGCGGCGGCGGCGGCAGCAGCAGCAGCAGTAGCAGCAGTAACAGCAGCAATCACATGTAGCTATATCCGTAGGGTATGCGTCTCTACTGTATGCTAAGGCAAGGTAGGGGCGTGCATGTGTGAGTGTGTGCTGGGCTGGGATGAGAATAGAAATGATAAATGGTAATAAATAAAAGTTGCCCCGTCACTTATTATCCGAATTCAAAAGAAGGGTGTAAGAGGGCGACAAGGGTCGAGGACGTGCGTGTCCATTCCGATAGACGACATGGAAAACGACAACAGACGGGCCTGTTTGAAGCATTTCAGACGAGGCGAGATTGACAAGTGCTTGAACATCATTGGCAATTCTAGAAGAGCTGCAACGATGGCGACGACAATGGCGATGGTTCGATGAGCGGCAGCGGGAGATGACGTTGGTAGCCATCTGGTTCGGGTGCGGAAAGAAACTTTCATGAAAAGGATCAATGGTACGAAGTGCAAGGTCAGGGGAAGGTGAAGAAGGCAATGTATTGTCAGCAGCACACGGCGTTAGGTATTAGCAGCAGCAGCAGCAACCACCTCCACCTCGTATGTATTGGTTCGGATAGTGAGTTGGAGTGCTGCGAGAGAATGACAGATGGTGGTTCCCATCCTTGACCTGTCACGGTGTGCTTTTACACTTCTGAGCTTCACCTTGGCCGCCCTGGATGTTGAGTCATGGACCTGGCCTCAGGCCGGGTGGACACGACAAGATTTCGTGATGATCACCGAACATGGGAGCCTGGGGGGGCCGGCGGGTTCCAACAGTTTGTGGGGGTGGGTGGAGACCATGGTCGAAGCTTGCTGTCCAGTTGCACCTCGGGCTTAATTATATCCCAGCTCACGTTGTTGCTATTGTTGGTGATGAGCGAAGCTGATGACGGGTGAGCGAGCAACCTGGAAACAAATCAATTTGAATTGGTGTTGCTGGTGTGGACACGGATTAAAACTATGCAATGGACCTGTCGTCGAGGCTCGGGCGGCGGAACGGCGAGACAGAGAGCAAGGTGGGTAAAATAGTCTGACGGCGGGCGGGAGAGACGGTAAGGGAAGAAGCAAGTGCCTTGGCAAGAGATGGGAATATTCCAGGTTTGATGCTTTGCCACGCTTCCTCTGTGCCGACCTGCTGTTGCGATTGGACTCTTTATAATACTGAGAAGGAAAGACTGAGGTGCCGTCGGATACGTATTGTCTCGGGCATCACATTTTTCCTAGTTCGTAGGCAGCTTCCCAGTTTGTGAAGCATTTGTGGTGATTACCTACCTTACCTAAGGTAGGTAGGTGAGGTTACCTTAGGTAAGGTAAGGTAAGGTGGATAGGTACAGAGTACGTACCGCAGATACGACCACCTCAGGCAAGAAACCGAGGCACGATCAGATGAAGCCAGCACTTCCATTAAGAACCTACCTCATGTCCGGGCGTTGACAGATAGCGGTACCTTGGTGTCCGGATACACATCGATATCATCAGCATCATTTGCAGACCAAAACTGTCGTGACGCGTGCCGAGATATAACAAAAGTGTTTGAGCATTGCGACTATTTCTGCCCGAGCTCATTGAGCGAACCGGAAGATACCCACACAAGCTGTGGCGTTTGGCCCTTGGGGTCATTCTCCGGCACGAATACGACATGAAGCTCCGACCCGGATCTTGCTCGCTGAGCTGCCGCATAATGCATTACTGCGTTGGCGTGCCGCCCACACGCGCCATTCGTCCATCTACCGGCTATCCACGCTACCTAACTGCCTCCGGAGGTAGATCGTCGCAGGCTTGAACGGCAGTGTCATGGGCTGGCGATATCTGGCCTGCCTTGAGACACCAGCGAAACAAAAATTTGCAGGCATCGAGGGCGTGGCTGGGCTGGAATTGTAGAGGGTGAAGGGGGGGGAAAAAATCTTTTTTGGCTCGGCCGTCATCCCTTCTTTCATTCCAGCCCATTGGCCTCACGTCACGATTCGCGGGGTGACGGCTGTTTCTTCTTCACATTAGTGTCATTTTTTCCATCGGTTGCCTTGAGGTTCCGCCGCTTGGGTCACCGTCGTTAGGTACCGCTAGTCTGTCATTGGTTCTCGGGCGAGTGGTGGATGTCTTCGAGAAGAGAGAGAGTATGTGTGTATGAGGGGGGGCTCCGAAGTCTCCCACCGCCTCCAGGTTCCATCGCCAGAAGCTCTCGCTCTCGGGGAGAGGGATCCATATGTGCGAGGGTGCTGGGAGGAGGAGATGCTAGAGTCTGGAGACAGACACGATGCGGTGTGGAAAACACGCTCCAGCTCGACAGCCTTGAAAGCGACTTGGCCGGCTCTGACTTGCCAGAGGCATGCAAGAGGGGTCCAGCCAGCTGCCGTTGTCCTATCCCGTCGAACCCATTGCCTCTTGAGTGTTCTGTGTCGCCCCAGCTTGGAGCTACCTATCCTCCGAGGTGGTTCTCAAACTTTCTCGTGTCTTGCTCCCCGTCCGGATGCGTCAGGACTCGCGGGTGCAATGGAGAAGAAACGCGGCAAGTAATGGGAGTAGTAGCCGCCGGTGGTGTCATAAGCAAAGGCCATTTGGGTACGGTGGTAGTGCAGGTTAGTTGCAGCCCAAAGGTCAGATACACCATGACGAGAAAAGCCTGCCTTGGTAATGGAGGGGCGGTCAGAGCTCTCTGGCTATCTCTCTCCGCTTCCTTCATTAAGCTTGCCCATATCCCCTCTATTCAACATTCTTTGCAAATATCATCCTTCATTCTCTCCCATCGTCTTGTATTTGCGCTGTCGTTCTTCCTCCTCTTCTCCTGACTCACAAAGTCGGATGGCGGACCGGCCGGAGATGCATCACCCCACCAATTGACTGTGTTATTTCTTTCCGAGCGTGGAAGGAAAACAAACGTCAGCGGCCGACGAAAGGGTGAGCCCCGCTGCTCCCCCCCCCGCGCGACCAAACGAGGACGGGAATTGTCTCGATAGAAGAGTAGGAGAAGCTTTGAAAATCCTCCGAATCTGAGAAACAGGCTTCGAGGGACGGAAGCTCAATTAAGAAAAAGTTGGCACAAGGTATGCGACGCTCTTTCTCATCCCATGTGCTGCAACCCCATACCCTCCTCTCTATGGGCCTCCTCTTACAGCTGAGCTGCTCATTATCCTTCCCTCCCGTTCCCTTGCTTCCTCCACATGATTCGCATACCTCCCTTCCCGTGTCATAGTTCGTCTGGCAATCTACCGGTAGCCGTCCTATCGGCCCTCAGCCCAAGGTAGCGAATTCTCAACAACTGTTTATTCGAATACGCATCTGCCTCTACCTCTACAGTAATATGTCCATCTACCCATCCATCCCTTCTCCCAAGACCCGTTACCCAAACACTACGAGACCGAGACCTAAGACGGGGGGACGAGCGGACAGGGGCCCCCTTTCTCCCACGCCAACCAAACGTGCGGGAAACCGTGCTGTTTTTTTACGGTTTTAGTGCCAATCATCACCGCACCCCTGAACTGAATTGACGAGATTACGGATCCAGCCCACACTGCTTGTCCAGCCCATACCAAGATTTTCCCTGTTTGGGCGTACACCATTCCGAGTACAGAAAAAAAGGGAACTTGAAAGCTGCGGGAAAAAAAGTGTGTTCGGGTTCTCAGTACCGAGCCACCGCGACCACGACGAGACAGACGTCAACATCACCATCATCACCACCGTCTTCATCGACTTCGCTCAGCCTCTGCCTCGTCAGCATCGACTTTTTCTTCGCAGTTCGGTCTGAAATCCCGCCTGCACCTGCCCACCCCCAAGGCACCAGCTTTTTTTTTTTAACCTTTACCGCCTCCAAGGTACCTTCGTCGCCTAGAGGTACGTACGTGTTCCGTTCCGCGCGTCAGAAAAGCTAATTCCACGAGGAATGGAGCCGGAAAGACACATGGCCTGAACCTCCCAAATTGTTTCAAATTCATCATTCTTCTACCAACACCATCGACCTTGCGCACCCAGCTAACCCGCATCCGCTCATACAGAACACGGTCTTTTCCTGTGCGACAGTCCACGAAGCATACAAAAGTCTTCCCCTGACATTTCGCACCTCCCACCAAACGTCCCTACCCTCCTTCACCGACATCGCCTACCTTACCGACGCGCATCAATCGCACTTCGACACCCAACACCGACACCATGGCTCGCATCCAGATCCCTATCGACGCCCTGACGAACCGTCTCGGCCTGCAGGAGCGCTTTAACAGCATGCGTTCCGGCGGCTTGAGCGGCCGCTTCGCCAACCTGCGCCCCGTCGGCGAATTCTTCGACATGAAGCGGCTCTCCAAACCCGCCAACTTTGGCGAGGTTCAGTCGCGATGGAACTACAATCTGTCCTACTTCTCCAGTAACTACAGCGTCGTCTTCTTGATGCTCAGCGTCTACGCTCTGCTGACCAACTGGCTTTTGCTGTTCGACATCATCTTTGTCATTGCGGGCATGTTCCTCATTGGCAAACTCGACGGTCGCGATCTTGAGATTGGCTCCTTCAAGGCCACCACATCCCAGCTGTGGACCGGTCTTCTCGTCGTTTCTGTCCCCCTGGGCCTGTATGCCTCGCCTTTCGCGACGCTGCTCTGGCTCGTTGGTGCTTCTGGCGTGGTCATCCTCGGCCACGCTGCTTTTATGGACAAGCCAATCGATGAGGCTTTTTCCGGGGAGGCGGTCTAGATGGTCGGCCGCGAGCTCCCAAATTTGCGCCCCAATGGGGAAGACCATCAAGGCGCGGGCGGAGGAAACAGGGAGCTGCGCAACAGTGGGAGGACGGAACGAGAGTTGTCGAGGAGCTAGAGGAGACAGAGGTGGACAGTTCAAATACACAAGGCGTTGGTTTGGTTTCGCGAGGGAAGCGGTTCGCCAGCGATCCGCTCCGCTTTACAGGTACAGACGTCGGTGAGCGAACGACGGCAATGCGGAGGGGATACGATTACCAGCATTCGGATGAGGACGAGGACGAAAGCGAAGACGACAGCGAGGGGTCAGAAGAATCATCTTCGGAAGACGAAGAAGAGGAAGAGGAAGAGGACATTGATTGGGATCAGCTTTCGCCGAGGGAGCGGGACGAGGCCCTGGCGCAGAGAGCCCTGGCCCGTATCCGACGTGCACAAGAACGAGGCAAGCTCGAGGTCAACCTTAGTAAACACGAAATGGCTGCTCTGGAACGACGGAGGAAGCGCATCGAAAAGGAAGCACGCAAGCAGGAGCGGAAGCAGCGGCGCGAAAAGGAGCAGCGGTTCGCCATCCCTCTGTCGCAATTTCAGCCGACCTCTCGCAGAAGGTCTCCCACTTTAACTCTGGAGGACGATCTGCCGCGCCATCCGTCGCCTGGAACATTTGCCAATGTCCAAGAGGGTGGTGCGATGCCGCCCATGGGATACTTCCCGCCGCCCAATGCTTCGCGCACCCGCCCTAGATCGGCAACTACCGCATCGCAGCGACCGACGTCTCGACTCATGGGCGAGAGGGGCTCATCGCCTTTCAACTATGCCTACGTCCAAGACCCTCCAAGCCAACGTTTGCCATCGGACACCATGTCGCCTGCTTCATCCACATCTTCCCTACCAAAATCTCGAGGCGGTGTCGACCCCTTTCAGTTCCAGACTGAAGGTCCCCACGCCCTTCCCGGTGTCGCTCGACGCAATGTATCAGGCTCTACCGACGGGCGCCGAACCTCTGTAGCGCCTCCGGCGGGTCGAGTTGGCCGGGCTCCGCGCGGGCCGCCACCCGAGGAGAGTAGCAGCGAAGAGAGCAGTGAAGAGAGCAGCGAGGAAAGCACCAGCGACGGCATCGGAAACGGTGCCCAAATCGTTCAACCGCCGCCGCCGCCGCCGTCCGGTCCGACGACAAGACGTGGTCGCAAGGAGGCCATTGCCGTCGAGGAGGCTGCTGCCCGCGAGCCGGCACGTGAGGTTTCGCGGGATAAGAAGTCTGCCAACCCGTCGCCATCCAAGAGGAAGCCCGTTGGGGGCCGGCGTAAGAAGAAATAGTCCTCGTCTGCCAAGTGCGGGATGTGTCCTGTATCAATACTAGAAACAATATTTCTTGAAACTATCGTCCTCTTCCAAGTCGGGTCTCAATGTCATGCTGATTGATGTCCATACGAATTCCCTCGACAGTTTTGTGTGGTGGTCATAAGTCATATCCTTTATATCAGAAGGTATATATGTAAACGCGCCATGCACGGTCTAACGTGGCATAAACTTTGGCAGGGCCGCTCCCAGAAAAATGTATGGGATGAACCAGATCAAGCAGTCAAACCCCCGTACCCCCAAACGCCGTTAAGGAAAGAAGCTTAAGCAAAGGGACACCCACCCAAGGAAAAAAAAAAGCCTTCAGAATCACCATTGTAGGTAGCCTGTTTCCCCGGATCCCCTTGGATCAGACTCAGACAAACATCTTGGCAACGCCATTCATGAGCCCATCAGCCCAGCCGCCACCGCCGCCGCCCTCGCGCTCAACACTCCTCCTCTCCCACGAGTAATCCCCGTCATACCCCCTCTCCACATGCGCGCGGGTAGCGGCACCGCCAGCGAGCCCGCCGCCGAACCCGCCGCTCGCCATGCGGACCGCCTCGCCGACGAGGCCCATGGAGTCGCCCGAGGCGGCTTTGGCGCCGATGCCAATCATGCGCTCGATGCCGGGAGGCAGGCGGAGGCCGAAGCGGGCGAGGAGGGCCGTCAGGAAGCCGCCCGTGATGAGGGGCATAATGACGAGGGCGACGACCTTGTAGGGGTGTTTCTTGGCGTAGTAGACGAGGTCGCGCCAGAGGCGTTTTACTTGCTTGAGGGTTTTTTGGACAAAGCCGTTTCGGGGGGAGCGTTTGTAGTATGAGGGGCGGCCTGGTGGGAATTCGGAAGACGTGTTAGTTGAACTTTGGATCTTGAAGAGGGAGCTGATTTGAGAGCTCTTGGTATAGAGTCAAATTGTGGACGGTAGACGGGGGAGGGGAGGGGGAGGGGGGAGGGGAACAATTGCCAACAACGTACCACCGCCGAAGCCGAAAAAAGAGGAGCGTGAGGCATTGGGAATGCCAAAGAAGGAGGAGCGGGACGAGTTGTTCTTCTTGTTGTGGTCGTCGCCGCCAAAGATGGAGGCGGCGATGCTGGGGGCGCTGTGGCGCTTGCGGGAGCGCGAGGAGGAGCGGGAGCGGGAGCGGTGCTGCTTGCTGCTGCTGTGCTTCTTTGCGTGGTGGGAGGAGTGGCGGCGGGAATGGGAGGAGCGGGCGGAGATGACGCTGCCCGTGTCGAAGTCGAAGAAGCCCATTTTTTTTTTTTTGGTGTTTTGCAGTCTTTCTTCGCGTTGTCTTGTGGTTTGATGGGAGAGAAGCTTTTTGCTGGGTTTTGGGTGGCTGAGACTATGTCGGCACTGAGACCGGGATGCGACTAAGTGAAAGGAGGAGGAGGAGGAGGAGGAACCAGAGGAACAAGAGGTGGAAGAGAGGATCACGGCTGGGATCAAGCTGTGGGGTTAGACAGAGGTGTCGGAGGTGGAGGTGGAGGTGGAGGTGAAGGAGGGAGAGGGCTGTGTAAAAGAGTGTGAGAGTGAGAGTGTAAGAGGGACGAAGAGATATCGAGATGTGGAGGTGGTGAGACGGTGCAGTGGAAACCCACAGACGCCAAACCAGTCCCGGGAGGGAATTAAAATAAAATAAAAAAACCCTTGTGCGAGGCTGGAGAATGTGACACTGTCTGATTCAGGAGTGCGATTCACAAATTGTGGCGCGCGTTACACAACAGAGGCGGGTTTGTTCTGTCGAGACTCGAGAAGCAGGAAAAGGAAAGCCAACGCTGTCGCCTTGTGACATGGGGTTTAATTAAATTGATAGACCGCCAGGGGAGTCTATATTGAAGCTCACGAACTGGTGGGAGGAGGAGGGGAATGGTTCGTGCTTTTAAAAGACGAGAGACCGGGAGGTGAAGGACCGGGGGTGCAGACGAGGGGGGGACACCAACCTTGATCTTGATGGACTTTCTTCCGCTCGAGAGGTTGAAACCCGATCATGGAGCTTTGGAAGTTGTTGCCAGCTTGTCAGATATCCGTACTTTGTAGGCTCACTCTCTCATTCTCTCGCGTGCGCAAGAACCAGGATCAGTTTCTTCAAAGGATATGCAAGCGATTTGCGACGCAAGCAATTCGTTCAGCAAATCGCAGGATTTTATCCGTAGTGCGCGGTTTGGGGGTTAGGGAGTGGACGGGGAGCGGCGGAAGGTGGGAATTTCGAAACCAAAATTTTGGGCTGCGTGCTGCGTGGCCCTGCGCGTGTGTCCGCTTCCGATGGAATACCGGTAGAGAGAGCAGGTCTGGCCAGGAGAGGAGCACAGGAGCAAGTGTTGGTTTTCTGTGGTTCGGCGAATGAGGGAAGCTCTCGATGCTGTAGAGAAGTGGACGTACCCCAGTTCTATGAGTCTTATGAGACTCTGACAACTCGAACTCGAATGTCTCGATTGTAACGTATCAGTTGTTCTTTTGTTTTTTGTTTTTGACTTTCTTTTCACCGCTGCTTTATCGTCTTCTACTTGGTTCTAATGAAATGCATACGACTCTTTTCGTATTTCGAACCCCGATCCCAATTGATTGCTTTGCTTTTGGTCTCACATTTTGGTACGTATCCTATATCCAAGTGCGAGTTTAACAAAAAAAAAACGGATGGCTGGAAATCAAGAAAGCCGTCTGGACAGGGGTCCGTCCGCAGGCACGGCAGGGTCCCCCTCCTGTCTCTGCCAAGGACGAAGCTAACGGAGCTTTGGTGCTCGACTGTACCGGGGTAGCCCAGGCGCTAGACGTCTTTAGGAATGGCACCTGTGGATGATCAGTTGCGGTCTGGTGGGGATTCCGGATGGGATTCTCTCCGCCAGGGACCACGTTGAAGGGGACCCCTCAACGACAAAGGCTTGGGCATGAAGATTGCTTTGCTTCTACGGCGTACACGAGGCCTAAATGATTTTGTAAGCTGTATTCCGCCTGATTTAATTCGATGCTTTGGCATTGTACCTCAAGGAGAGGGGCCTTTGGGTTGCGTCTAAACCCCAAAAACATGCCAGATACGCGGAAGCGGCACTTATTACCCAAGGTTCGCAGGGAAGTAGGTAACGTAGCCTTGACAACGTTTGGTGCCTGACCCTAGCCCAGATTCCTATCACAACTCCAGGCGATGCTGTGTCAGGTTGGTGCAAAGGACAACATGACATGTACAGAAGAATCATCTCGCCTTGGTCCTCCCCCCTACCTGTGTGAGTCCGATTTGACCTTGCTACAAATAGGCACTAGGTCTTCAAGTGGGAAGGCGTGCTGGTAGCTGCCCTGATCACCAACAACTACCAGAAGCTCCCATCTACTTCCCTGATTGTAAATATCATAAGTCAGAGGGCTGGCTTGCGATGTAAGGCAGACGGGTTTCTTCCTTTATCAAAGTCAAAGGGCTGTCCCAAGACCAAGAGGCCCAGTCTCTCGCCCAGAAGAAGGAAACTAGTAATGTCGAAATAATTAACAATGCCGGCATTGATGTCTGCTTTCGACTCTATTCGATTCCATGCCATCACGAAGATGGCTTGTAGTTAGTTCATTTGTACAAGTAGCCACAGATGTCTCCAAGCAGAGCTGCTCCGGCTTGAAGAGCTCACGAAACTACAACAACACCGTTGCATCATCACAAACCAGGTCCAGCCAATACCCTCGACAAGCAGGAGACTTGGCCTATGAATAAGCCGCCCTCAACAATTTCCCTCCATCAAAACCTTGCAGCATGTGTATTCAAAAGTTCACATGGCATCAATGCCCAGAAACCGAAAGAGGCCGGCATTTCCGCCAAACTTGCCCCGCGGACCAAATCATCAAAGACAGCGAAGGCGCCTTCGCCGAAGCCAGAGTCTGGCACAGCACACACTCCGTCATTGTCGACCAGCCGCTGAGGCCAGGCATGGAGTTTCACGGCCACGAGTCCATGGTCTACTGCGCCCACCCGTACCACGGCCACTGCCGGGACGACGCCGTCTGCCAGGTCACGCAGGTGGCGGAGGGCGAGTGCCCCTGGTGCCTCGGCGACAATGCCTTTCCACGCAGAATCACGGCCTACGGGATCAAGAGCGACGTGGGACCCGCGGTGCTGACGGGCGACTACACCCGTCCCTCGCCCCTGGTGCTTGGCTACGTCGCGCAGGTCGCCGTACTGGCCAAGCACATGGTCGCGCAAAGCATCCCTTTCGTGCGGCTTGAGGGCGACATGGCGTCGCAGGTCGTGAGGCAGATCCGCGCCGAGGTGTTTTGCCGTCTGGAGGACGACCACTGGGAATTCCCAGGCCACAACGTCATTGCGGACTGCGAGTGTTTCACGGAGCGGCACAGTTACTGCGCGAACCTGGGCCGTCACCTCCGGCAAAAGGAGGCCCTGCGAATCATCAAGAACCATTGGAACATTATCGCGCCGTACACCGGGGTGCCGGACCAGTGGGTGGAAGAGGAGGCGCCCTATACTTTCCTCATACGAGAACGGTCGCACGCGGCGGACTGGTTCCGCAGATGTAGGCGCGGGAGGCACGACGAGATGACGATGGCGAGGTTCGATATAAATCCGACAGAGGACCAGCGGTACCGAGAGGCCATCCACCGGTTGGAGGCCACCGTATTGAACTGCGTGGAGTTGCTGCGGCGGCGCCTTACGCCCGAGCCGCCGGACGAGAAGAAAGTGGCGCTCTGCGACGAAAAGGAAGAGGAAAATGTCGACAACATCGTCGTCGAACGGAACCTCTTCGCCCGCGCGGTGTTCCTCTACAAGCCCCTGCAATGGATCGCCTACGACAACGGCATCACCGACAAGCTCTTCCACGAGATTTCAGAGATGGTCATCCACTGGTACCTCCGCGTCGGCACCCCTCTCAGCGAGTCCATTGATAACGCGGCGAGTTTGACAGCGCCCGGGCTGTTCAAGTTCCGGCGGGACATTGACCGCGTTCGAAGGGACGTGGAGGACGCCACGAGCCGGCTCGATACCGTCTTCTCGACGACAACGTGGAACAGCCGGCGGCTCTTTGTCCGGTCCTTTGGCGAATCTCCCGCCCGCGACGAAGAACTCGGCGAAGTCGACGCGTGCCGCAGCAAGCGAGCGGACCTCTGGGCCGCCGCGCAGACGAAGCTAGAGACGGCGGTCTGCGAGGCCGACGCCCGCATTGTCACGGTCCAGGAGGCGCGGAGACTGTGGCCTGAGCAGCAGCAGCCGCCGTCGCCGCCGCATCCACTCTGTCCCGTATGCTACTCCGCGTTCGATGACGGCGTGCACGCGCGCCGGCCCGTGCTGGTGTGCGATGCGAACCACGTGGTATGTCGCGGTTGCCTCGTGAGGTTCATCGTCAAGACAGGGAACGCCGAACTGTTTGAGCACGATGCTGGAGAGTTGGCGAGATGTCCGGTGTGTCGGAGGACGATGCCCCATTTTTATCGAGCGAGGATCGATCGGCGGAGATATCGGCTGCCGCTGCCGTTGGAGTCGCCGAGGCCGAGGCCGGTCTTGCCAGTGCCGTATGTTTGGGGGTGATTTGCGGTAATTTGTGGTGACTTGGACGAGAAGTGGTCCGCAAGTGCCAGTGACGAGGCTGGAAAGTATGGGGGTGAGCTGGACGTAGTGAGTGGTGCATCTTTCATGAGGACGGGGTCGCATGAAGATGTGGAAGATTTGGTAGTCTGTAGACTAGATCAACGTGAATACAGTGTCCCCGGACTGTAAAACGTATGTGGCACCAGCAAAAGCACCAGTACCATCACTGGTTTAGCTCAAGTTGACCTTTCATAACTTCAATGGTAATGGAATGCCACTTTGCGGATAGAACCTTGGAAATAGCAGTGTAAATCATGAAGTAAGCGACGTTTAGGGGATGCAATCTCACCAAGGTGGAATTGCGTCTGCTCACGCCTCCGACATCTTGGGACGTAGCTCCGCCGTCCCCATATCAAGAAGTCACCAACCTCACCGTCCTTCTCACCACCACCTCCGCCCTCGCATCAACCCCAACCTGCCGCGCAGCAGCGGTAAAATGCCCCTTCATCTTTGACGGCCGCGTCCCCGCCATAGCAAAATCCACCGATTTCATCACGGCCCTTGGCGACGGCTGGAACCCGTATAATCCAGACTATGGATCCGTAAAGGGGGCGAACCTGTCCTCGTCCGACGTTGTCCTCCGCCCCCGTACCCCGTCACCACGGGCCCCGCCCGGCCCCGGTTCCGGTCCCGCTTCGACGCGGCAGAGAAGAAGCGTCCACTCGAGGTCATAATCTCCGACGCGAGCATCTTCATGAACCAGCGAGGCTTTCGGCGCGCGGGTTTAGAGTTCGCAGAGGACGCTAATAGGGGAGTCCCGCGGGCAAGGGGGTCTAGACGTTGCATTTTAGTGTGAGGCAGGATCTGGCTAGGCCGTTGACTTGACGCACAAATAGGTGGTACGTCCTTATTCATGTGTTGCATGTGGCTATCAACCGTGGATGAATCTCGTTGTCAATGGTGGTGGTTGATGTTTGATCTTCCAGACAGACACGGTCATAGGCCAGCCGGGTGTGCCGATGGACACATTCAAGCTGCTGGATCGGAACAATAAACTCCTCTAATTGACGCCGATAGCGACGGATGGGTCATGGCAGAACCTTGCACTCACATTGGACTTTTCCAAGAAGTCCCTCTGCCTCCTCGACCCCCCTCCCCCATATCTCCTCCATCGATAAACACATTGGGTAGTGAACGTGAACGGTGTATCAGTCTAGCAACCTGAATGAGGGTCAGATATACAGTGGGGTCTTCATCAAAGATAGCGCTGGAGGTTGTGTGTCTATCTGAAGAGTGGGCTCGGCTTTTGTCTATGGTTGTCCTCCAGCTATGTCTACACTTCCCGAGTCTAGTCTATACCACCAAGTCTAAATCGCAAATCCCGATGTCGTAAATGGACCTGTAAGAATGCCGGAACTCGACTTCACCTGCTCACCGAGCGCCTAGGAGGTGTACCCACAGAGGCTTATTCCTGCACACTGACGGCAGTAAAGCTCGCCCTCAAAGGAGCAATGCTGATGACGCCATTCAGCGACGCCCACAAGTCCTCGCCCTCGGGACTCTCCTCGGCTTGCCTTTTGATATCAGCGAGCTGCGGCGCCCACCGAAACTGGTACGTACGCGACGCCGCCAACTTTTCAGGATCGGCGTCCACTACGGGGCTGAAGAGACCCCCCGTGATCCATCTTCCGTGCGCGGTGGTCGTCATCCTCACCGGCCGGTCAGCGATGTCGGCGACCATGGGCACGTTGACGCTGTACACCTCGACGTCGCGGTGCCAAGTGCGCGCGAGGTCCTCGACCAGCGCGACGGCGCGTTCGCACGCCGCGCGGATGATTTTGGCAGGTTGCGCCTCCTTGCTGCCGAAGCTGAGGGCCACGGCGCGCCTCCCGCACTGCGCCGCCTCCATGGCGCCGCCGACGGTGCCGCTGCTGAGTGCGTAGACGGTGCTCGCGTTCCGGCCGTGGTTGGGGCCGGAGAGGACCAGGTCAAAGTCCTCGGGCTTCAGCCCGGGTGTGTGGAAGAGCCCGATCTGGGTGCAGCTCGCCGGCAGACCGTCCACGACGAGCCAGCGGTGGGTGCGGTCCTCGGTCTCCTCGCAGCCGGCGACGTTGCAGGTCGTCTTGCCATCTGAAAAGAAGGATAGCGGGCATCTGCTCGCTGCGGTCAGGGTCTTGCCGACTGCATGGGCCTTTCCGATCCACGATAGCGGCTTATCGGGGATGACTACGACGGTTGTGTGGCCAGCCTCGTTCAGGGCGCTAATCAGGGGAGCAAGATAGGGCGAGACGGACGACGGGGGTCCGTCATCGTTGACCACCTACGGACGGGAGAGGCGCAATCAGCATGTTGCTGCCGTGTAAGCGATTATGACACGCGTGTATGAGTAACACGGCGGGGAGGTAGCAGGCATTTTATTTACCAAGAGCCGCATCTTCGCAAGTCGGCGATGTCCTAGAGTGTAACAAAGAGATGCGGTGCGATGCGGACGAAGATCAGGCAGCAATTTATTGGCAATCTGGCGCCAACACGTTTGCTTCTGATGGAGTAAGTCCAGGGCAGGCTGAGCCGCAACAGTACCTAGCAGTAACAGCAGCAGCAGCAGCAGCACAGAGAGAGCGACAGGGATCAGAGAAAGACTGAAAGAAGGCAACCGGGCCAAGAGCGGCCAAGATCAGGCTGCCGGCTGCGGTTCCGCGGATGCGCAAAGGGTGGTGTAGACGAGAGTTCGCGGGACAGACTGTAGCTGGGCAAAAGTATGACGCGCGCCTCGGTCACTCAAAGAGGATTGGGAGGCTGCTTATGAAGAGAAACAACACTAGAATGTCCAGATGAATGACTCTCACAGGGCTGACTGTTTGTGTCTGTCTGTGTATTCTGTGTCCGTCTGTCATGTGGCACGGTATTGACTTTGTCCGATAAAATCTGAGCAGAACCCCTCCCCGTTTCCAAGCTTCTTCACTGACCCGCCGACCACGGAGGACGGCGTTGCCGCATCGGATGGACCCACGAACGGGACCAAGCTCGATTGCACGCGAAGGGAGAGTCGAGGTAGATTGGTGGTGGGATAATGCCGCAAAGGTTCGGATCGAAGGCGACACACAAGCACCATAGAACTTGACACGCTTGTGAAGACCAAGTAAGACTTTGGACGAGGCTTCCCAGGTCGGTGGTGCGCCTTGCAGTTTGCCCAACATGAGCTTCGGCAGGCTCTGATCCACCACACGATCGCCCTGTCTCTGTGGACGAAGAGACGGGGTGGTGGAGGCGATGGAGGAGTGGAGGAAGTCTACGTACCCGTACACGTAGAAAAAAACGTTCGGGAGACGAGAGAGGGTGTCGGGTGTGTCTGGGAGATGGAGAACAGAGGCCGGTGTAAGCCGCCAACTGCCGCCCTATATCGGAGCCCTGGAACCCTTCCCCGGCGCCAACTCCTGCTGTAACACACCGAAGCTTGCACTTTCCCCTTGCCTAGGGGCCTGGTTGGTCCCTTTCGGTACACTAAGAAAAGCACCGCGCAGACCGAGGGGTGGGCAGGACGCATTGGAAGCTTTCCACTCATCCGCTCCCCAGTCCGTCGTGCCTTAACCACATGCCAACAAGACTCCCGCACAACACACCAGACTCCAATCAAGCCCAAACAAGAACAAGGCTCTCGTTCTGCACCCAGGCACATAATATGAAGGCCTCCCAGCTCCCCATTCTGTTGGGGTCACTCTTTTTCTCTCTCTCGCCACATCCTCGGCAAAGTCTCAAAAACACAGCCTCTTTAAACAAGGTGGCATTCATCAACAAGTCATCGTGACTTTGAAACCTGGTATGGCACACTGGACCAACGTCAGAGAAAATACCCCATTCACATGGGCCGGGCAATCGGCCGACGACCCTTTCAGTCAGCAATGGGCAAGCCATAATGGTCCTTCTGCTCAGCCCACCGGGCCCGCCGACTTGCTCAGTACCGACACCCCGAGGAACCTCGAGTCCCTGATCAAGTGAGTTGAGCCTTGTAGCTCTTTGCCCAAAACACAGTCTAACACTCTCCAGGGACTTCAACGACGAGCTTCAGAATAATTTTCAGCCAGGCAGTGCTTCTGGTCAGCCGTCCTCTTGCCGGTCTGTCGACGGTGCGGGGACAGACCAGACCGACCTCCCTTTCGACCTTGTCATTGACAATGACATCGACCTCGACGCGGCTAAACCAACATCGTCCGAGCTGGCCCGAACAAGCAGCCAGGCGAGTTCTTCCGGCGTTGATGAGGAGGAATCTGTCAGTTTCAGCCATGCCGGCGACTTTAACGGTGTAGGCTTCGATGATAGCTTTGGCCATGGCTTCTTCAGCGGCATCAACAGCCCGAGCACCACTTTCTCCGATGCTATTCTATCCACAAACCCCTCTCTGGAGAATAGCCCCCCCATCATTACTAGATGCCCATATCTCATCATGCAGGCAGATAATCATGTTTCTGGGGCTTCATCGGCGACTGCGGCCAACACCCCCCAGTCATCCATAATCGGTATCGATGATGCTATTTCAGACATTGGCTTTGCTACTGCAGACACACCTAGAAGCGTTCCAGGGCCCCATGTCAGTGCCTTATCAACGGGGTTGGCGAATCAAAGTCCATTTTCGGCCACCTTGAGTCCTCCGTCGCCATATTTTGATCGATTTGATTCCGATATGGGGGAGGACAGGGTTGCCGATTTGGATTCTTTGATGTGGGACACTCCATCGTCGTCCGGAGGATTTATCCCATATAGCGAGAGTCAATTGGGCCCTTCCTTGGTGGTTGTACCTCCCGACATGTCCGATGTCCACATGAGCGACTTTGGCGAATGCACAAGTCCCGACGCACCTTCATCCTCCCAGACACATCCCATCGACTATTACCTCACGGAAATATACACCCCGCCTCTATTGACACAGCCCCGGAGCGTTCCAAACACAGCGGTGCCACCGAACCCTGCAACGGCCGCGGCGGGCCAACTGTTGGTCCCGGACAGAAGACGTAGGAGACGATCAGACCCGGTCCGAATCGATGCGGCCATCAGAGGACAGGCACCTAGGCTTCAACCAACCATTCATGGCGCTAGTTCTGTATTGCCACGCAGAAGCCCCGTTCAACGTGCCACGGCCCAGTTCCTGTCCGTTTCTGGCGGTACTCACTTCCAAAGATTGCGTCCGTCCGAACCGCCGAGGAGACCAGGTGTGACGGAGCCCATGCCCATCATGGTCCACCTAAGAAGGTTAAGCAACAGCAGTAGCAGCATATCCTCCGATACACAAAACCTAGTGGGCCGGCCCGGTCGATCAGGCCCGGCTCGCGGACGCCGTCATGGCCCGATGGATCCGGTCTCTCGTGGGCAAGCCAAGGAGACGCGGAACAAGAAGATGGTTTGTATTCGCTGCAAGCAATCCAAGCAGAAGGTAAATGCCGTCCTCTACAGCTCGCTGCGACTTTTACCAACATGTGTTTAGTGTAAGAGAAGCGACGATTCCTCAGATGGCTCTTGTATCGGGTGCGACAGACATGGCGGTTCGCAAAGATGGCCAGGACCTTGCGTCCGAGCACATTTTGAGGATCTCATTCAAGCCGGAACTTGCAATTACATCTGTAAGTCGTTGTTGGAAACCCAAATGTTTCGCTTTATAGACTAACTCTCAGCCAGCACAACACGCCATCTATCACCCGACCCTCAATGGCAAGACACGCATCCGCAGAGAGCTTCCTAAACATATCCAAATCGACAACCTCATACACAGGTTAGATTGTGTGCGAAATCAGTTCAATATCCGAGTTCACCAAAAAGGTCGGTCCATTTACGTGCTTGATCTCGATTCATGTCACGAGTATCTGCTAGGACTCAGGCAGCAGATGGACGGCAGCGAGTGCAGCTTCCAGGGCTTCATCGACCGAGAAATTCTGCGTGTCGATCCGAAGACGGACGACTGGGAGCGGTGCATGACGCAGGTGACGACGTCCCGGGACGACCTGCTCGCCCTTCTTTGTCTCGTCAACAACATGCCCAGCCGCGCCAGCTTTTCCTACGTCGTGAAGCAGCAGTTCACGTCGCTGGGGACACCGGTGGAGGGGCCCATGAACGTGGAGAACCCCCAAGAGACGGACAACCTCATCCTCGCGGCCCAACTCTCCAAGATCATCTGCCGCAAGCTTGAAGTCAAGGCCTATGGGCAGCTGCAACGTCTCCTGCACGAGTCGGGCACCATGGACGACGACAAGGTGCTGCCGTTCCTACAGAGGCTCGGCCGCATCCTCCTGACACTGCGCTGGCGGCTCTCCTGGTGGGCCGTGGTTCCCGGAGACGCAACTGCCGCCGCCGTGTTCGACCAGACGGACAACGCCAGAAAACAGGCTGTATACGCGCGGGTGCAGTCGTTGTGCCGGATTCTCTACTTTTACTACTGCAGTGTTCGCAGACGATTGCCGGTGTGGACGAACATTGAGGCGCTGAGCGGCATTCGCTCAAAGTACCCCGACACCGAGGCTGAGGTTTGGGACGATTTTCCTGGTAATGAGTGCATCGAGGGATTCGAGGCGTGGATGGAGCAAGGCAAGAGGCTCATCGACCAAGCTGGGGTTTTGAATCGACTACGCTCGATGGGCTTGACGGCGTGATAAGTGCGAGTTTGCTCACTTTTCTTTTGCATGTTCGCCTCTTCTTTTGCGTCCTTTTACGATATTTTACGATATTTCCAGCCTCGTTCATCATCATTTTAGCGACATAGGCGTTGGGGGTTATTTGAGACAAATTTGGGAAGGGGAAACAGCACACTCGTTGCCACATTTACATGAGTATGAGGCGTTATATGCAGGACTGAATGAGATACCATAGAGAAACTGCGCGATCGGGAACATAGCAAGCGTCTGTCGTTTCTAGAAAATTAATTGATTTCCTGTCTATCACATCTGGGGTTTCCTTGTGAGGAGTGCTCGCCTGAGTATGATACTAGCCAATCGTAGCATGGCAATCTAGCTCACTCGTTCATGGCGCTGCTACCAAAAGATTCAAACTCTTCACTGGGCTGGAAGTTGTCTTCTCGCTCTGAGCACTTTTACGCTCCAACCCAATTTTCTTGAGATGATGTACTGAACCTGCATCTGATTCGTTGGTATTAGTGCTACTGCTGATCCGGGACAGAGGAAACAGCAAGAAAAAGGCATCGATAGAGACAGGAACAGATGCTAATCGGAGCAGACTGTAATTGTTAGCTGAGCTCAAACACCAACCCGGAGCTTTACAGCTCGTGTGCCCGTGTGTCTGTGTAGGAGAACGCAATTGAGCGACAGGGCTGAGCTGCAGCTCATAGGAAATACTGGTGTGTCGATCAATGTCTCAAAACCACAGCGACTAGCACAAGGTGGAAAGACATGCAGAATAATGCGACGACCATCACGTGTGTCTCTGTGCCTAGCAGCCTTTGAATGCAGATACGAAATACGGTCCGGCGGACTAAAGCTCCGGCTGCGTCCAATGGCAAGCTCGGTGGTGCGCCGGGTGGGGCCGTGAAGCCCGCTTGTCATCCATTGCCGGCGGTGATCGGCCCTCGTACGGGGACGGGGGGTGCTGGCCTTCCAATGGTTTTGATGAGAAGAGGATGCAAGCTTTGGGGAGAATGAAGAGATTTATAACGTAAGGGGCTATGGGTTTTGTATAAGAGTGTGGTTGCTGTCTACTCTATGTGGCCAAACTTGATTGCATAGGTAGGACAGTAGTTTGTTCAACATCAACAACTTTGTCGCAATACTCAAGCCACGAGGAGATCTAAATATCGAGAAACATTACCATAATCACATCATATCCAACATCAAAACGAAACAGTATGAATTTTATGGGCAGAAAGAGCGATGTCAAGCCAGAGGACGTGGCCAACATCCCGCCCGAGCTATCAGACCTACACTGCTTGACGGAAACAGGCGGGGTCATCACCACCAGTACGTGCCATACATAATTTATACATAATGTATATATATATATATATATATACAACGAACGCGGTACTCACACGCACGGCTAGCAATGTTTGACATCTCCGGATACCGCGTAGTCCGCACCCTCGGCGCGGTGTACGGCCTGTCGGTGCGCTCGCGCAACATCGCCGCCAGCCTGGGCATGGTGATCAAGTCGTTTGCGGGAGGGGAGCTGCGGTGGTTCACGACGATGCTGTACAACTGCCGCAACGACGCGCTGGGGCGGGTGGTGAGCGAGTGCAAGCAGCGCGGCGGCAACGCCATCATCTGTCTGCGGTTCGACGCCTCGGACTTGGGTGGGTTCGCGCAGACGTGCGCGTACGGGACGGCGTGTGTGGTGGAGAAGATTGAGGAAGATAGGGCTGTTGCGCCGCAGCTTGCTGGCGAGTAAGGGGGGGGAGGGGGGGTTCTGGGGAGGGAGGGAGAAGTGAGGTGAGGTTATCGTGGGGGTAGGTAGAGCTTGGCAGGGAGAGGCTTCGTTTCATGGAGGATCGATTGTGTGTGAGAGATGTTCTGTATTCGAGGCCTAGCATCAGGAGTTCGATACCACTGTGTTGGATCCATTTCGGGAGGTAGTTGAATCCTTGGTCTTTCAAACCCAAAACACGTCTCAGTAGATAAGTCTGTTGCTATGTATGAGCTGTTCTCGTGCGGTGAACCAATTATGGCTCGTAGTCTATCGTCTGCACCCAATATCGTGATGCTCGTGCATGGGTTGAGGACCAGGTGGGCTGCAGACAGAGTTGAGATGAGAAGCATCGGTGGCCAATGTTTGGTAGAAGAAGATTCCCCTCCCTGAACTGAGATAATATAAGGTACCTCAAGGTACCTTTGTTTAAGGCCAATGCAAGAACCACAGACCTGTCTTCAAAGGAACGTTTTGAAAAAAAGCGTTGCAGTTGGAAAATGTACTTCTTTTGCCAGGGTCCGGATCCCGCCATACGCAAAATAAGACCGCCTATTTAAGAGTTTAAGAGACCTGTTGCATTCGAACGAGCCCCGGCAAGCTCCGAAATGGGAATGCGAACGAACGATTGAAACGGGCCAAGCCCACTCCTGCCGCACTCTGCAGCCGTGGATACCTCTATGCTTCTCTTCCCACGGCGGTGGTACTCGAGATCCAGGCCATAGGGTCCGCCGCTAATCCCAAGCCAATGTACGCACCCGTGGACCACTAAGCAATTCCCCACCTCACGCACCGGCACCTACAGCTACCTTACCCAGGTAATGTAGGTAGGCACCGGATTGGACTGCTGCTCTTTGTTCGCCATTGACTCGCCTCCACGTCCACGTCCACTCCACGATCCTTCGCAACTACACCACTCTTCGACATCCCCATTCTCCTCCCTCCCCCCAACGGGCGCTCCTCTTCCTCCGTGCCCATCCTACACTCACCCCTCTTGCAACTCCATCAGATACCAAACCGCCTCGTTCGTGACTGCCCTCCGATCCATGGGGTGTGGTCGTGTCCTCCCATTTACAAAAGAGGACTGAAGCTGCCTCGAGACAGCATGCCGTTTCAAGTCACCGCGCAATCCACCTAGTTTCGATCCCATCTTTCTTTAGCTTTGGCATCTGCTGCCTTTGCCTGGGCAAAGCTTACCCCGGACGGAAGAACCGAATCCCACAAACCCTCCCGAGACTGATAATCAGTACGCCGTCTCCATCTCCGACACCATGGACACACCAAGCGCTTCCGCTGCCGCCCCTCGCCAACCTACCGCCGAGGACTCCAGGATGTCCCACGAATCATCCATCTCGAGCGTTTCCACCACCAGCCTCGTCTTCGACCGTCTTCACGAGCAGAATGAAAAGGCACACTCCTCTTCTTCCGCTCAGAGGCGGCGGGCCCCGTCCACCTCGCGCCCCGCCTACGCCGATAACCCCGACGATGATGACGACGACAATGATTACAAAGAGTCCGACGCCAATGACCTCGAGACGGGGCCCTTCTTGGCGCCGACGACGGGCATGGCGCGCCGTGTCGGTATGGACCGCGGGCTGAAGAAGGGAATATGCATACTGGCCGCTGCATTCCTCCTCGCGTGGGGAGGTGCTCTATTCGTGTTTTTGTCCCGCAAGTCGTACCAGCATGGAAGTCAAGTCGACCACGACCCGTCGGCCACGTCGCGCGGGTCCGGAAAGTCAGTCACGTTGGACCAGGTCATGTCCGGCTTCTGGTCGCCCTACTCTCACTCGATAAGCTGGATTGAGGGACCTAGTGGAGAGGATGGCCTGCTGCTCGAGCAAGGTGCCCAGGGCAAGGATTACCTCGTGGTCGAGGACGTCAGGGCCGGCAAGTTGGATCGCCAGGTTTCAGCCGAAGTCGTCCAGAGTCGCACGCTCATGAAGAACCCTTGGATCAATGTCGGTGGCCGCCAATTGCAGCCTAACGACGGACGGCCGAGCAAGGACATGAAGAAAGTGCTCGTTTCGACCGATCGCGAGCACAACTGGCGCCACTCCTTTACGGCCTTGTATTGGATTTTCGACGTCGAGACCCAGACCGCTGAGCCTCTCGACCCCGAGCATGCCGACGCGCGAGTGCAGCTCGCGACATGGAGTCCCCAGAGCAATGCCATCGTTTTCACTAGAGACAACAACCTGTTTTTGAGAAAGCTGGATGGTGACAAGAAAGTTACGCAAATCACCAAGGATGGTGGTCCCGAGTACTTTTACGGCATTCCCGACTGGGTGTATGAGGAGGAAGTCTTTGCCAGCAACAGTGCCACCTGGTATTCCGAGGATGGCAAGTATGTTGCCTTCTTACGCACCAACGAGACGGGTGTGCCCGAGTACCCATTGCAGTACTTCATGTCAAGGCCCTCGGGCAAGGAGAAACCTGCCGGCGAAGAGACCTACCCGGACGAGAAGCGCATCAAGTACCCTCGCGCCGGTAGCCATAACCCCGTCGTAGACCTTCTCTTTTACGATGTCGAGCGCGGCGACGTTTTTGCCGTTGATATTGAGGGTGGGTTTGCCGATGATGATAGACTCATCAATATGGTCCTCTGGGCCAACAGCAAGGTCCTGATCAAGGAGACCAATCGCGTAAGCGACGTCATGCGGGTGGTGCTCGTTGACGTTGTGGCTCGGACGGGCAAGACTGTAAACACCATTGATGTTGGCAAACTCGACGGCGGCTGGTTCGAGATTTCTCACGAAACTCAGTTCATCCCCGCGGACCCTGCTAATGGGAGACCGGACGATGGGTACGTTGACACTGTGATCCACGATGATGGCGACCACATTGCCTACTTCTCGCCGATGGACAACCCCGAGCCTGTCTACCTCACTGGTGGCAACTGGGAAGTCGTGAGCGGCCCCTCCGCTGTTGACCTGAAGAATAACTTGGTCTACTTCGTATCTACCAAAGAGTCCTCGATTCAACGCCATGTCTACAGCGTTCACCTCAACGGCTCCGACCTGAAGCCGTTCACGGACACCAATTTCGAGAGCTACTATGGCATCTCCTTCTCTAGCGGCGCAGGCTTCGGCCTTCTCTCGTACCTGGGCCCCAAGATCCCTTGGCAGAAGGTTATCAGTACTCCAAGCAACCCAATCAGTTACGAGCACGTTGTGGAACAAAACACACAACTCGCCGAAAACGCAAAGAAATACGAGCTGCCCATTCTCAAGTACGGGACCATCAAAGTCGACGATGTCGAGCTCAACTACGTCGAGCGCCGTCCTCCCCACTTCAATGAGAAGAAGAAGTACCCGGTCCTGTTCCAACAGTACTCCGGCCCCGGATCCCAGTCCGTGAGCAAAAGGTTCTCCGTCGACTTCCAATCCTACATCGCGTCCGCCCTCGGCTACGTCGTCGTAACAGTCGACGGCCGCGGCACGGGCTATATCGGCCGCAAGAACCGCGTCCTCATCCGCGAGAAGCTGGGCCACTGGGAGGCCATTGACCAGATCGCCGCCGCCAAGCACTGGTCCGCCCTCAAGTACGTCGACTCGGCCCGCATCGCCATCTGGGGCTGGAGCTACGGCGGCTTCCAGACCCTCAAGACGCTCGAGATGGACGCTGGCCAGACGTTCAGCTACGGCATGGCCGTCGCCCCCGTCACGGACTGGCGCTTCTACGATTCCATTTACACGGAGCGCTACATGCGCACCCCGCAGCTCAACTCGGCAGGGTACGACCAGACGGCCATCTCCAACGTCACGGCCCTTGCCGGCAACGTGCGCTGGCTGATGATGCACGGCGTTTCGGACGATAATGTGCACTATCAGAGCACCCTCACCCTCCTCGACAAGCTCAATTTAGAAGGCGTCGAGAATTATGACGTGCATGTTTTCCCTGACAGCGACCATGGTATTTACTTTCATAATGCAAACAAGATTGTCTACGATAGTGAGTTTATGCATTTCCCTCAGTCTCCCACCTTTTTTTCCCTTTGCGAGAGGCCATGGCAAGGAAGTTTACTAATCATCAACCCTTCCCCTCGCAGAATTAAACAACTGGCTCATCAACGCCTTCAACGGGGAATGGCTCAAGATTGCTGATGCGAAACCCACGATCGAGAAAGAGAAGAAGAAGAGGTTAAGCGAAGCGAAGTCTGGCAGTGTACCGATTTCTTAATTCTGCTTCCAAGAGGAGTTTCGGAGCTGGATTGTATGATGTTTATTGTTTGAAGCTGTTGCTTTAATAGAATTGACTTGAGCACATGCTCTTCAAATGTGAAGCCAGATCTGATACCTAACTCGTAGTCGTGGCGAATGTCACGTTGCTCCTATTGACCTCAGTGATTACCTTCTCCATGTGATGCTAGCTACTGATTTTAGACCTCCCATAATATGAGACCGATCCTGGGCAAAAGCCGGCAGTCGCGGCATACTTTCTTCAATGTTCGGGCTATGGCCAGTTAGGCTCAGACATTCCTGTTCACATCGACATTTATGCACGCCAGTTGTCATCAGAAAAGAGTCAACGTTAAATGAACTATCATACAGTTTTGGGTTCGAGCGACAGGCTCGAAATATCCCTGAATCGGTAATGGCGAGAGAGTCTAGCTTCGAGTGTGCATATTGGAAAAATAAGCATCACCCGATAGCTCCCTCGCTTTAACACTCATCCGCCTGCCGGAAATGCTCATCCATCCAGAGAGCAAAGAAGATACGATTACAGGGAGCCCTCGGTTATCTCAACGCCATCCTCCGCGTTCATAGAATTTTATTGGCGCCGGTGCCGTAACCCTTGCCGGCCGCCTGATACCTCATGCCGCCGAAAATAATAGACTGTGGATATAAGTGAGTGGCCTTATGATGTTGCCTCGCTTGGGGCACAAAGGTCCAACCATTGTCTGGTGTCCTCATCTAGAATCCAAAGCCAGTGGGCTGGGGCGCAAAGCCGTTTGTCTGGCCGTAAGGCGCAGGAGGAGCGCC